TCATGGGATCACAGGAGATGCTAAAATTCACACAGCAGTTACATAGCAGAGCTGTACGCCAAGCAAGAAGCTGTGTGGCAGTATTAGTCAGCTCTTCCGTATCGCAAACAAAGCAAAGCGAAAAGATAGGAGACACAAGACACGAAGGTCACTGCGAAGTCACTGCGAGATCATTGCAAGATCACTGCTAGATATCATTTGCGACTTTTTAACTCAACTTCTTGTGTGTCTGCTGACCGTGTCAAAACCAGAGGTGGAGATGTCAAGTCCTGAGAGTACAAATCCAGACCAAGACTCTGTTTCAACCAACCAGTTGAGCACTCTGTGACTGTGACTCTTTATACTCAACTGGTTGGTTGAAACAGAGTCTTGGTCTGGATTTGTACTCTCTGGACCTGACATCTCCACCTCTGGTCAAAACAACTAAAAATCCCCAGTTAATTTCTTCTGCTGACCCTGCAATATATCGAAACAGCGATGGGCAAAGTGGAGATGCAGAAGGGTCAACGGAATTAACAGTAATGTTTTCGCTGATATAGTCAATGGCGGCAGCTACAAAGTTATGGCCAACAAGGGAAACCAAAATGCCACAGACTGGTGAAACTAGGTGAAATTGCAGGGGCCTTTGTGGTTTTCATGCATCCTGAAGCCTCTGTTTTCGCAGAAACCCACAGAGTGGTGCTGAGTTTCATCAGCTGTTTCGCTGGTGGTGTGTTTCTGGCTACCTGTCTGCTGGACATCATCCCCGACTACCTGTCTGACATTGGGACAGAGCTGAGCACCCAAGGGCTGAATGTGAGTGCCGTGAACCTGCCCCGGGGGATGTTTCCTGAAAGCTCCTGTTAGCATCTTCCATCATTTTAATCGTTCAGTTGCATGGTTCCAACGATGCGTATGTAAGCTGCTAAAATTTGCAACTGCTTTTTGGTAAAAAGCAGCTTTTTGGTAACCGTCCCCCAGTGCTTTAGAAGCAGTTGCAACAAACACAAAGCTGATTGGGTTTGCTGTCTTCCAGCCAACCAGCTTCCCCCTGGCTGAATTCATCATGGCCTGTGGCTTTTTCATGGTGCTCATCGTGGAGAGAGTCGTTCTGAACTTCAGCGGCCCCAGAGGTCAGGAGAGCGCCCCCTTGCTCCCGGCAGCCGGCCACGGGCACAGCCATGACCGCGGTGACTTGGAAGGCAGCGTCCAGCACGTGCATGTGGACTTGCAGGCGCACTCCTCCTTCCGCTCCTTCATGCTTTTCCTATCTCTCTCCCTCCACTCGGTCTTCGAGGGCCTGGCTATTGGCCTACAGACGACAGACTCCAAGGTACCGTAAGGCTGGTAGAATAATGTCATATTTAATTGAATTAAAAGTGATTAATCACATAAATTACGAGGCATATCCATCAGTGCTAATTACATTAATATATTAATTACAAGGTACAGCTGTCAATGAGAATACTTTATTATTACATTGATTAATTACAATAATGGAAAGGTGCAGTCATCAGCACTAATTACGTTGATTAATTACGTTAAGTACAAGATATCCGTCTATGCTAATTGAATTTATTGCTACATCACTTGAGAAATTGCACTTGTAATCTTTGACACGAGCCAAGTGCTCAGGGTCCCCTTACATGACAGCGACACGATGGTGTGCTCCCTCGTTTAATTAATCACCCATCAATCTATCCTTCCATCTGTCCATATCCCCCCGTGTGTTGTTGCTGAGGGCCTGGAGGCTCTCAGGAATCACATGGTGGGACACAATATGCCTGGCTGTTGTCACAGGACACACACACACACACACACACACACACACACACACACACACACACACACACACACAAAATCTGTATATCAGTATCTTTGTGGGGACTCTCCANCACACACACACACACACACACACACACACACACACACACACACACAAAATCTGTATATCAGTATCTTTGTGGGGACTCTCCATTCATTTCTATGGGTGAAGCAGAACCCTAATCCCAACATGACACCCTTAACCCCAACCCACTCCCAACCTCAACCATATGTAACCAAACAAAATACAAGACTTTTATAAGTTTTAGTTTTTGATTACAGTTGCAGACTTTTATAAAATTGAGCTTATCCTTGTGGGTACCAAAACAATGGTCCCCACAATGTCGAAATAACAGGTTTTTATCACGTTGTGGGGACATTTGGTTTCCACAACGTAATATATACATAACACACACACACAGAAATGCAAAACATGTCTTCCTCTTCTGAACACACCCTCTGGGTCTGTCTCTACCCCAGGTGCTTGAAATCTGCATTGCTATCCTGGTTCACAAGAGCATCATAGTCTTCAGCCTGTCTGTGAAGCTGGTGCAGAGTGAGGTCCGGCCGCTGTGGGTGGCAGCCTACATCACCGTGTTTGCGCTCATGTCACCACTGGGCATCGGCGTGGGCATCAGTGTGATGGAGGCGCGCCTTGCGTTTGGGGCCTTGATCCAGGCCGTGCTGGAGGGACTGGCTGCCGGAACGTTCCTTTACATCACCTTCCTGGAAATCCTGCCCCACGAGCTGAACTCCCCCGAGAGACAGCTGATCAAAGTTTTCTTCATCCTGGTGGGCTTCAGCGTCATGGCAGGTCTTGCACTCCTGGGTTGAGCCGGCACCCCCTGCTGGTGGTTGTGGTCTTTGCACTGTTGGAGACTGCCTGGTGTGGCTTGTGGTTAAGTGGTGACTGTGCTCGTTCCTGAGACACTTTTCACTCTACTGGTGGAAATGAGATGTAGCAGCTGTTGAAGACTTTTAATTAATCCTTTTAACACCACATAGTAGTATTTTATTTTTCTCTTTTAGAGGAAGGGATCGAGTTTAATTGGGTAATGTGTGTTAAAGACCACTAAAAATCCTCATATTCTAACTAACCTGTTTTCTGAACATCATGGAAATGGACAGATATCAAGACTATCCAACTGTTGGTCCTTGTATAATGCCAAAAATGTCTTTATGTTTTTAAGAACATTTTTTAATTATTTCACATTACCTGTTCAGGCTGTTGCAAACAAATGACCATAAAAACAAGCTTATTATCTGTATTCATGAAAGCTGGTCATTTACAGGACAATGACCACAATACCTCTTAAAATACATTATGTAAGTCCAATGCCCTCAAATTTGTTGATCCCACAACAAAAAAAAAAGTACATGATCAGTGGAAGGCTGCTGGCAGGTAGTTCATTTACTTTTCCATGTGTGCTTTTGGTCTGTGGATGCAGATAGTCATAGTTGGTTTCCCCCCGTTGTTTGAAACAGTGACAAAAGCTTTGGATTATATGTGGATAATCTCCCCCCAATGCAAAGGGATTTTTTTGAATCTGTGAAATCAGTACAAATAGTACTAGAAGTTTTGGCTAATCTATTTAGCATATGCTTTCATCTGAAGGGATGGACATTTGAGAAATGGCCCAATAAGGGATAATGGCCTTGCTCAAGGGCCCAATAAGGGATAATGGCCTTGCTCAAGGGCCCAATAAGGGATAAAGGTCTTGCTCAAGGGTCCAGTCTCTATCAGCCTGAATGTTTGAACAACCGTCTTTCCAATTGCAGGCACAGCGTACTAATTCACCGAGCCACATTCAGTCCTCTATAATAAGTGATTCCTTAAAATTCACCCTAAAGATGAATCTACATATAGACTTGGGCTTAAGGGAACAAAATACTTACCTGCATGTGTAACTCAACTGCCTGTATCAGGCTACTATATAAAAGGGTGACCAGATAATCCACGTCAGGGAGGACACTTTGAACTACTTCAGGTTTTACAAATTGTGCTTGGCTAAACAGTTCTGTTCTGTTCTTTTTGCGGTTTGTTTCCTTGACTGAAATACTCATCCTGCTGTTTCACATTAATATTAACGACATGCATGATTTTAGGAGACTGACCAATTAGCACACAAGAACTCCGTACTTAAGTGAAATCCAGGTTCTGTTATTTAAAATGGTGCTTTACAAATCCTGTCCTAATTCAGTATGAAAGTGATTATTCATGACACACCACAACAAAATATGTCTACTGCATTTAACCCGAGAGGGCGTGAAATTTTCGATTCGAGACAAATCTGCACACGCATTTACATGTATGTAACAGTTTTATTACCTTGTAAATAGTCTGTAGGGTTAGCAAACTACTCCAACGCTCATCAAAAGTATACGTGTTGGTATTTAAAGTGGACGCCAGCGAATTGATCATGCGCAGTGTGTCCAAAGCTGCGGATACTCGATTGTTCAAATTTTACGTGCATTTGCGCTGTTACAACAATCGATTGCCACACGTACGTAGGCCTATCGCTCTTAAAGGTGAATGCGTACTTGCGTACTTCTTATGTTCATCCCTGTTCATGGTTACATCTCACACTGTGAAGAATCAGATGAAGCGGGTAACTTTGTGTTACTTTAACAAAAATCCGCAAAGCAATACGACATCGGAAGAAATGCAAGGTCCGATGATCTACACAGTAATATCTTCTCGCTTGCATGATGTCAGATACTTACTAGAAAAAGTCACGCCCCCCCCCCAAAGAAATATATATATATATATAAAACATATATTTATAACATTATAAATACAAGTCAGCAATCATTACGTGTACAGACTTATTTTCATTATTGCCGCTATTGTTGCGGTCGCCGCGCTTGAACTTGACTCTGAGTAAAGCAGGAACTGGTAGGTGCTGAATGTTATTGGCTGGCTGGGGCGCTGTAACCCTGTTAAAAACCCAATGGTGAGGCGCCACACACTTTGGCTCCTCCAGCAGGACCCGGTACTGAAAGGCTTTCGCAGAAATCGGTCCTTCTCGCTTGCATGCCTGGTGCATGTGATCCGAGAGCTCGCTTGCTCGTAACGCATCCCCGAATTACCTCCCCAAAGGAGATCGCCTAAATAGCCACCGATCAGTTGTTTTATTTATTATCCGTCGGGGTTTTTTTTTTATTAAGACCGACATCTTGCTTATTTGCTCCACGCCATGATGCTGCAGTTGCTGCTTCTCTCTGCCCTGGCTGCGGTCACCCGGGCCAGCGACGTGCTGGAGTTCACGGATGACGACTTTGACAGCAGGATCGGCCACCATGAGCTGATCCTTGTGGAGTTTTTTGCACCCTGGTGAGCTCTCCCTGACCCGCATCGAGACGCCTCTTTCTGGCCTCATGCACTTTCGTTTTGCTGCAGATGACTAAATCAGGCGTCGCTTTCGTTTTCTACCAATGCAGTCGGTCAGGCGATTATCTGAACTCACGCCAACAATCTTACCTAATTTTGTTCTAGTCTTTCTCGGGTTTCTAAATATCAAACTGAACGTAAACTTTCATTTCTGTCGTCCCTTTTGGGGTATTTCAGTTGGATGACGATTACACAGAGCCTAACGAGTTTGGCCGCATATCTCCGAGGTATAACGCCCACGAAAACGGATGTCTCTGGTTTTCTAGCGCTTGTATAAACCGTGTTTATGGGCACTCTATTCTAGCCTAGTCTCCTTGGGTTTGTTTCATACGTGCCGTCAACACCGGTACCTGCCCTAGGTTTTAGAAACTTAGTCTTCCAATGCACTTTGCCAGAGTTTCATTTTTGTAATTCATATAGTACGTAACAAACCCAACACATCTACTACTAGAGGATTTGTCTTTCTTGTAATAAATTGCATTCAGTTATAACATGCACAACTTATGAAAAATGGTTGTTATGCATTCGACTCTGCAGTATATCTGCGATACAGCTCTACTCCATGATTAAATCTCATGCATATTTATCAAGAAAACCACAATCTTTGCTTGGTTGAATAACCGAGTAGGTTTCCCCAGTGCTTACCAGTTCTGCTCTGCTGTGCTGAAACTTCTTCATTCACAGGTGTGGTCACTGTAAGCGACTTGCTCCAGAGTATGAAGCTGCAGCAACACGTCTGAAAAGCATCGTCGCCTTGGCAAAGGTATCTGCAGAGGCGCATCTTGTCAGCAGGCAGGGCAGGCAGCTTCTTGGGGCCCCCAAGCCACTAGATGGCGATCATTTATTAAAATGATGACAAAAACTGGTTAGAGGGGGACCCTCCAGTGAATTTTTGCTTGGGGCCCCAACAGACCCTAGGATTGCCTCTGGGTATCTGTCACTGCTGAAAATGGGTGGAAAAACACTAAATGCTGAAATTATGCTTTATTTGCCATTTGCACACGTACGAGTGCAGGTACTTTGGAGTACTTCTTGGGTGGCTTTGCGTAGGGGGCTAAACGTGTGCTCTGGAAGGACAATGTGCTGAAGATCGTTATGTTAGTTCTGCTCAAAGGTGACAAGGTTTATGCTTTGTTTCCTGTTCTTACCACACACAAGCACCGTGTTTTGCATAAACCTACAGCAAATGATATTCAGCCAGTGTATGTTCTGAGACAGTATACGTTTTGTCTTTGCAATCTGTCAGTCTGTCAAAATGAAAAAGCTTCTTGTAGTTGTTTTGCTCAAATTGTAGCATTGTTACTTTATTACCAATTATCAAGTATTATCTCCTTTCAAAGCAAATATGCTCTGCTTTCAACTGCTAAGTGTAATTCCAGAAACCATGCTATAATTTTGTTACCCGTATACATGTCAGTTGTCTCAACACCCTCCAGTGTTGCGTTGACACTTGACTATTTTTAACATGGCTTGTGCTTCTTCTGCTCTAGGTTGACTGCACTGCAAATTCCAACGTTTGCAATAAATATGGTGTGAGTGGGTACCCAACCCTTAAGATTTTCAAAGATGGAGAAGACTCCGGCAGCTATGATGGACCTCGAACCGCTGGTAATTGTTTCCTCAAGGCTTTCTTTGAAGAATCCATCTCGGCTGATGGAAGTAGGAGTTTTCCTACCTATATTTTGCTTTGGTTGGCCTCTCTGGCCAGAATGGAGACTTTAATTCGGTACTCTGTGTGCTTCCTCAGCGAGCTGATTATTTTCTTTTCTGTGATACATTTGTGGATTTCAGGTGCTTCCAAAATGTACTCATAGCTGCTTGGGATGGGTTCTGGATCCCTGGCTAGATAATTTAACTGAATCTTGAACTGTGTACCTTGTCTTCAGATGGAATCGTGAGCCACATGAAAAAGCAAGCTGGTCCCGCTTCATCAGTGATCAAGAGTGTGGTCGAGTTTGAGAAGTATATTGGAGATCGCGATGCAAGTGTAATTGGTGAGATATTCTGGCCCCCTTTGAGAGACTCGTGCATCAGTTGAGTGTCAGGAAGCCTGATCGTCTTGCATTTGGTCAGGCTTTTTTGCGGACAGTGGCAGCTCGGCGCAGGCGGACTTCCAGAAGTCTGCCAATTCCCAGAGAGACTTCTACCGCTTTGCACATACAAACTCTGAGGAGCTTCTGAAGAAATATGACATAGAAAGCGAGTGGGTGATTACCTTGCATGCATTATTAATCAACAACGATCAGCCATGCAATTGTCTAACAACTTACATTTCCACTCTGCTGCTCTCTCGTTCCTTAGAGGAATTATCCTGTTTCGACCTGCACGCCTCAGCAATAAATTTGAAGAGAGCAGTGTGAGGTTCAGTGAGGATGCGATGACCAGTGACAAGATCAAGAAATTCATCCAAGATAACATGTGAGGTTTTCTTCTCTGGTTTCAGCTTCCGGAAATGTGTTCCTCTGTTTAGCTAGAGTGCTTTTCTGCTCATGTATGAATTAGGTTTTTTTGGTAGTAAACATTTTCTTTCAACGACGATGGATTTGACATTTTCAGGGTTAATTAGCTGATGCCATTTTTTAGACTGTTTAACCCCTCAAGATGGGTGTTGCAACCTATTTTTTTTTTTTTCCAATATTTTTGTCAAAATATGGTTTTTGCATGTTTTGCTAACAAATGTGGTTCTAAATGTATGTTAAAATTGCACTTTTGACTTTATTACAAAAACGTTCTCTGTTGTACAGCCAAAGTTAACCTTCACATCACAGCAAACTTGTATCTTGTCTTATCCGTTTGAAGCTTTGGTATGTGTCCCCACATGACTGAAGACAACAAGGACCTGATCAAGGGCAAAGATCTGATGGTGGCCTACTACGATGTGGATTATGAGATGAATCCTAAGGGCTCCAACTACTGGAGGAACAGGTAGATACCCCACAGCCGCCTACTGTAATTACAGATTCAGAAACTAGCTTGCATAATCATCAGAAATGTCTTCATGTAGGGTCATGAAGGTGGCCAAAGACTTCTTGGATCAGGGGAAGCAGATGAACTTTGCAGTCGCTAATAAAAACGTCTTCAGCCATGACCTGTCGGAATTTGGGCTGGACTCCCACACCGGGGAGCTGCCAGTCGTTGGAATTCGCTCCTCCAATGGAGACAAATATGTCATGCAAGAGGAATTCTCGTGAGTTTTTGGTGGACTCCCAGAAATGCATCTCTGTTATGGCATCTGTTAAATTATTCAACTTGTTAATCGAGCATGATGGCAAGTCTTTGATCTCATGCAGACGTGACGGGAAGGCCCTGGAACGATTTCTGCAAGACTACTTTGCTGGAACGCTTAAACGCTACCTTAAGTCTGAGCCAATTCCTGAAAACAATGACGGCCCAGTGAAGGTGACTTCATATTGTGATTTCAGTATTCGGTTCTCCATAGTTTATCCAAAAATCATGCTTAATATTCCATTTCATTGTAGGTTGTAGTTGCTGAGAACTTCGATCAGATTGTGAATGATGACAGTAAAGATGTCTTGATTGAGTTCTATGCCCCTTGGTGTGGCCATTGCAAAAACTTGGAACCAAAGTACAAGGAGCTGGGTGAAAAGGTAAGTTAAGATGCGATGTTTTGTTTGTCTCTCACACTGAACTGCTTACAATTATTTTCTTTTTCCTCCCTCAACCAATAGCTATCTGGTGATCCCAACATTGTCATTGCAAAAATGGATGCCACAGCCAATGATGTGCCTTCACCCTATGATGTCAGCGGGTAAGGATTTCAGTTCACCAGTCACTGAAGTGTTGCATTCCAACCCTGAGCTCAGAGTGGATTGTAAAATTCAAACACATTTATCTAAATGCATGCAGTTTTTTATGTATTAATGCCAATAAAGGAGCATGTTCACAGCATCATTTGTTAGATGTACCTTCACTTAGGTTCCTGAAGATGGAGACATTGTTCTTCGGGGGGTGGCTAAGTGGGTTATTATGCTGTGCCTGTGTTGGGAAGGTCGCTGGTTCAAATCACTGTTGGGCCCTTTAAAGGTGGCCCTTAACCCCCAGCTGCACCAGGGACTGACTGGCCCTGCATTGATCTTTTAGATAAGTCTGAAAATTTTAAAATTGCTTCTATTATAGGTTCCCTACCATTTATTTCGCCCCAGCTGGTAGGAAGGAAGATCCCCAGAGATATGAGGTTTGTTCTGGAGTTGTTTATTCAATGACTACAGTTGATCCTTCTGTATCATGACTTTCTGCATCGTGGTTTTGAGAAATTCTTCTGCAGATCCTGCTTTTTTTTCTTTTTTGTGAGTTTTCCAAAAACTTTAGTAACGCATACATAAAGTCTATGTGCAGTGCGGGTTTGAAGGATGCCAAGTCCGTTTATGACGGTCTCTCATAATATCTTGTGTTTCTCATATCTTTTTGCTTTGCTTTGCTTTGCTCGCCAAGGAGCGCAAAACATTTAATGTGGTTTTTCCAGATCACTGGGGGGGCCTGTATCTCTAACCACCCCCTTCCCCATGTGGAAGGGGTTGGCTGCCTGGCTTATGTGTGTGAATGCACCGCTTGCTTTTGTCTTCATAGTAATGGTCATAAATGTCTCTTACCCCTCCAGGGTGGCCGTGAGATCAGCGACTTCATCTCCTATCTAAAGAGAGAGGCCACCAATCCCTTGGTGGTCGGAGAGACTGAGAAGTCAGAGTTGTAGAGCTGAAGATCTGTGGAAGGCATGAGTTCTGGAGCCAAAGACTCCAAGTCCATGTGCACTTAAGCTGCCGTGGTATCGAAAGATCAAGTTGGCCAGAAGGCGGCTGTTCTAAGTTTGAGAGCGTTTGTTTGTTTCCCTCTCAAATGGATGCACTGTTTTGATGTTACAGGATTACCTTTTTTCTAGACGATTTTTGTGGGGGAGGAATTTTTTTTTTATTTTATTTTTTTAATCACTTTTGTAATTTTGGAAGATGTGAAATAAAAGTTATGGACCCGAACTCTACTTCACTGATGTGAATTTACTGCCACACAATTCAAAGACCTCTGGGTTATTTAAATCTGCTAATATTACAATGTCAATAATGATCCTGTGTTTTGGTTTGACTAATAGCTCCATTTAGACTTAGACAAGGTACTGATTACTGGTTTTAAGTGGGTAATTTCTAACAGATGCGGGCACCACATTACTGAATGTACACAGAATTTGATGTGATGGAGGCTCGTTTTTACATTTATTTTTTTTCTCCCCCTCTCTGCATAAATAAGTAGGTATGAAAGCTGACCATTGAATATCATAAAGTCCTATTTCTTTCTATTGCAGAATCGTGACAAACTCCTACAATATGGTCATTAGGTTCATAAGAGATGTGCCCTGTGAGTTCTGACTGACCAAATTAATTTTGTGTGATCAGGGTGGGCTTGTAAGATATGATTTGAGGTGGGTAGTGTCTGCAGTGATCTTGTCTGCACACTTTCTGATGCTGTATAGCTCCAGTAGGGAAATACTCTATGGATTGACAGAAATGACAATAGAATGCAAAAATAACCGAAACTGACAGGAGAAACGTCTCTGTTTTTGTCAGTGACTTTTTTATAGTTGATTGAATCTGGCAAGTTAATGATTTTTGTGGTTGAACCTCCCTTACTCCTGAAGATAATTAATATACCAGTTTATGCCAACACTTCGAGATCAACACTGATACCCAGGGGTGTTCTTGCTATTAAAAGATCCAGGGCTAAAGTTTATCCAGGGCTTGACTCTTTTTGAAGGAAGACTGGCACCGGGGCTAAGCTTAAAATATTCCCGGCTATAGCCTCCAGTGCTTGGACCTAATGACGCCCATGTGGATACCCACTCCTTAGACAAATACTGTTTGGCTAATGTAGGTCATTATTCACCTGCTCATTCTAAAATAGCACCTCAGTGACTGCTGCTTTGAACAATACACCTATTAAATTTAAACATTCAACACATATCACTTCATGTAAGTGATTTACGTCAAATCCGTAAAATACCTGATGGGGTAGTACTGAAAGTCGGTCTGGGTAGAGTTTAGTTTCTCTTTGCAGATAGTACTCCAGCGCAGCAGATGGCGGTACGGGTCTCTCATTGAGACGCGGTAACGGAGTCGCCATTTTGGATCTGACCAGTCTTGAGTGAAAATCAACCAATAGAAGCGCAGTGCTGTGGAGCAAGCCTGAACATGTGAAGAGAGCCGTCCGATTTCCACGTGCTCGTGCCGGTAAGCTCTATATATACATATATAAGCTCATATATATACATACATACATATATATATACATATGTCAGATATAAAGTAAAAATACGTGGCGTGTAATACGAATAAATTGTTACACAATTAAACCTCAAATCTGAGGACTATGTAGCCGTCCGAGCGCAATGACAGCGGCAGTATTACCATTAGCTCCGTGGTTATGTGGCTAGTTGTCGATGACAGGTCGACAGTGTCAGCTTACTAAGTTTTATGTGTGGACTGTCGTGTATATATCGTTTGTGAAAGATATTTACACCATAAGGTCTTCAGATATTAAACAAAATTCGATTACTTGATATTTTGTTGGTCATTTTATTTTTCTTTCGACGCGGAGGCGGAGCAGGTTAGCTGACGGCTAGATCAGGGTTGGTCAAAATACACTTGTGTCGTGGGGATGGATGTGGTAAACTGCTTCGAACCAGTTTCTTGACATACATAATGTATTGCATAATTACTGAGTAATCTTATATATGTCAAGTGCATGATTAGTCCAAGATGCATAATTATTACGAAATAAGATCATGTGATGTGTTATATATACGTTTGTGCCTATCCGAAAATGGAGAATGCCCTTAATGGTTGTTATATTATTCCTCAAGTACTGTATGCGCGAGCGTTATTTGGAGCTGCGTACGATGATTTTATGTATGTATGTACGTGTGGTTTTAACAAGGGCGTGAAACATGCAGTAACGCGATATTCAAGAGGGACGGGGGGTGAAGTGGGCGGGACACGAGCAATTGGGGTGATTCGTATTGAAGCGGTACTTTATAAATAGGATAAATACATAGATGGAAATGCCAGTGGAAGCGGTGCATATGATGTACATTCGTGCCTGTTGCAATGGTTCTTTTAATGCATGTTAAAGTTTTTGATTACACTTGGTTCTATGTATTATTCTAAGTATGAAACATCACTGCTCAGGTCTTTCTTTTATTTTGAAGGATCAAAAATTTTAGGCACATTGGGTTAATTAATTGGTGTTTCTCTGTTTTTCTGGTAGGTGTCCTTAGAGAGGAGGTCGGAAGATGCCCGGTCTGAGCTGCTGTGAGATGGCCTTAGAGAATATGAGGAGCTCCCACAATCCCCATCCTCCAGGCCCTGTCGACTTTTCCTTAGCTGAGAGTCCTCGAGGGGCTCCGGAGTGTCGCGGGAAGAAAAACCCAGCAACAAATAAATGGTTGCGGATACAGGCAAAAAGGGCGGCACTGGAGAAAAGTGGGGTCCTGCAGAAGAAAAAGCAAGCGAAGGACAAGCACAGAGACCGGGGGGGCTTGGGCTCCATCGTGTTATCCCCGGACCCTGGGATCTGGGGGGACTTTTCATTACCCCCACGGACTGAGGTTCCGTCTGACGTCCTGTCGGTGGCTGCCACCTCTGCCTGGCACCAGTCAGGAACGTCCAAAGCTGGGGTGATGTCCTCCATTGGTGAGCGCTGGGAGACGGACAGCGGGGTCTCCTCGGCAGCCAGCCCCCCCGTCAGCGGCCGTAGCTCCCCCTGCCCCTGCGTGAATCCAGCCAAGCTGGTCGCCATAGACTGCGAGATGGTGGGCACTGGCCCGGGCGGTCGCTTCAGTGAGGTGGCCCGTTGCAGTATGGTGAACTACCATGGGGAGGTGCTGTACGACAAGTACATCCAGCCGCTGAGGCCGGTCGTGAACTACCGGACTCGCTGGAGCGGTATCTCCCAGCACCACCTGGTCAACGCGGTGCCCTTTAACAGGGCGCATCGGGAGGTGAGCTCAGAGCTGGACTCAGAGTGGGGGCCTTTATCGTCAGCGACGTCACCTTTCCCAGGATGACGTGATTCTGTATGTTTCCACTGACAGATACTTCAGCTCCTGAAGGGGAAGGTGGTCATCGGTCACGCCCTGCACAATGACTTCCGCGCCTTAGGATTCGCTCCTCCGCGGCACATGATCAGGGACACGGGCCGCTCACGTGAGCTCAGGCGGTTGTCTGACTTTCCGCTCCGGGGCAGCGTCTCCTTGAAAAACCTGGCCAAGACCCTACTACACAGAAAAATTCAGGTGAGAATATCCCGCCCGTTGCCACAAGAGGGTACGCTTTGCACAAAATGTTTCTGAATGCAATATCTGGCAGAACGCCTTTCTTTCCTGCATTCCTGAGAAGGCAGAGAGGGCTGTAATGATGCTCACGTTCTGAGACTGGCGGTAGTAGAGCTGTGTGATATAGATCATTATTTTTGGTATGTAACTGTCGCAGACCATTCTGAGGTTTAGCATGGGCAGATGTGCGACGTCACTGTTTGCTCCTCATCACAGACCAGCAAGCAGGGACACTGCTCCGTGGAGGATGCCATCGCAGCCATGGACCTGTACAAGCTCGTGGAGATGCAGTGGGAGCGGAATATGCTGGACGCGAGTCCGGGTTTGGATACGGATTCCCTCTCTGAAGTGGTATCCTCCACTAGTCACTACATGCAGGACCAGTATTGGCCTGAAGAGATTTCAAATGACTGCAAGTAAGGGGGGTGACAGCGGGACTTCCACTCTGGGTGGGGAATTTGCTGTGTGCTGGTTTAACCCAATGGAAACCAGTTCGAATTGAACAATGGGAAGTGGGTTAAAGCCTCTGGTGATTGGCAGCAGTAAATAATAACCCCACCCACCGCGGGGGAACTAGTGTCTCAGTAATCCTCAACAGAAGCTGCTATAGATGAGATCTGAGCTTTAGTGAGAATGATGTACTGTAGTTCTGAGTCCTCACACTAGAGGGCAGTCTAACCTCAGCAGGTGCAGGTTCATTGTGGCGTTGCTTTATCTGCACATGTGTGTATTCCCAGAATGCACACTGTTTAGAGAAGGAGTGACTGATTGAAAAGATCAGAATAAAAACTGAATGCATTGTATTGCATATCCTTGCTCATACGGAAGATCTGTAATTTGTTGTCCAATTTTCCACTGTTATCATAAATTTTGGTCTTTATAACCACTGGTTTGGCAAAGTTAATTAAATCTTTAAGGAAATATAACTCATTGGAGCAAATGTAATAATTTTAGGCTGTTTAATGCGGCAATGAAGGCGTTTCATCTTAAATTGTCAGATTGTAATGGATAATCTGGGACCTACTTTGTCGAGCTTCTTGTCTGTATACTGTGTATATGGTTCTCAGAGTACACAAGGTGCACTTCGCTGAATTGGTGTCATGCTGAAAGACTGTTAGTCTTTCTCCGTGGCTGAACATCCCTCCAGAACTGTTGGACTTCAAGCTGTTGTTAAAAATTTAACTTAATAAAAAAAAAATGGCATTACAGTTGATGTAAACTCCATGTGTATTGCTTAAACTTGCTGAATTTGTTTTTTTCCCTGAACATAATATATCTTTTTTATCTCCTTTGTCTGACATGCCCCAGTTCCATAATTGTATCTTGCACTGCCGCTATCCTGCCAGTAGGTGGAGATATTACAATGAAACATTTAGACGTTTAGAAAGCAGCCAAGAACAAACTGTATAGCTTCTACCCCCATGAATAATTAGGCTTCCCAGTGTGTTTACTTACTTGGTAAATAATGTAAATCCCTGTATTTTTCTTCACTCTCAGTCCTCTTCATGCTGTTACTGGGTCAGATTTTCTGCTTGCGTTGTTGTTTTCCCCAGTATAATTACCAGGGCGTAATTAGGCCAGGTGGGCGCATAACTGAGCTGGGGGTGTTCAGCGAGTGCGGGGAGGATGACTCACATTTGCTGTGGTTCCTCAGCAGTATTTCGCACAGGTTAAGTGTAATGGCTCCTGGCCCAGAGTTTAAAGCGTTCACAGGCCGCTGTGTGTGGCTCTGGGTTAGGGTTGCCGGTTTAAATCTCTGTGTCGACAGTCTGACTCACCATTGGGCCCTAGAGCAAGGCCTTTATCCCTCATTGCTCCAGGGACTTCATCGCCTTGGATAAAAGCATTTGCTAAATAAAATAAAGTCTCATCTGTAAGTGGGTCATGCAGTATCTTCAGCATATGTAAATTACAGCTTAACGTCAAATGATTTTAGGAAATGGCATGTAAAAGGGTGAGGACTCTTTTGTCCACTGTGCTTTTGTAAGGTAATGGGTTTGTAATCTAAGCCTGAATAATCTTTAACTGACACAAATCTGTGGAAATTCTAAATCGCCCACTGGAGGTTTCATAAGGTTTATGTTGCACCTATCCTACAAAACGCCGAGCAGCCCCAAAGCCTTGGTTCCCATTAGCTGATACTGTTCCCTCGTCTGCGCCGAGTGGGTGGTCATGTGACTGATCAGCTGACCCTCTGCTGTCTTTACCTTAACAGGAGGTTCCTCTGCCTTACATACGCTAAGGACAGCCTGGTATTGCATAAAGGGCATAAAGCTCTTATGACAGAGATTAGTGTTATTCCTGGTCTTAAAAGATTTAAACATTTGCAGCGGTAGGTTCAGTTCAGAGCTCACCTTAGAGAAGAGAAAAGGGATCAGAGTTTCATCCTGTGACTGCAAAGAAGGCCATTATACGATGCAGAGAATCCCAGTCTTGAAATAAAATAATATGGCCCCCTTCAGACTTAAATATTTATTATTGATTATAGATAATCAGATGTGCCTGACCGTATTGGTGACCCTGTACTCCAAAAGATGAAGCCTACGGATATCCAGGACTTCAGGAGTGAATCATTTGAGGACCAAGCCCCACAGCCTGCAGCCTCGCGGACAAAGGCACCTGCCATGTGCCGTCATTTTCAGAGCCAGCAGTCAGCTATGTCTTTAGCAATCGACAGGCTATTTCTCCCATTTACTGAGCTGTAAACAGCTGTAGGAGGAAGGAACGGGTTTCATTTCATTGTTGCTCTGACTCGATATAAACACAAACACGTGTCATGTTTGTTGGAGATTAAGTTGTAATATGTACACCGGGGTGTTGCGTAGGAGTTCCATACACAATACGCCTGTGAATCCATTTAATGTTCTGATGAACAGAAGTGAAAATTGGAAGTTAAAATTGTCCCAGTTTGCTCAAAAATACACTAGTTAAATCAAAAGGTCTCCTGAATCCATTTTTGGGTGTAAATATTTCTGTTTCAGATGAAAGGACAGAGCTCAGTGAAACATGAACATGACTTGAGTTGAGAAACACTGCTGTACACCCCAGTGGTATAAATTAGCATGCCACCAAAAACCAGTGAGCTTCAGCAACATTTGTACTGGGAGCCACATGGATGTAGGTTCAGATGGAGGGGTTAGGTGGAGTTACATAGGTGTGATGGCTGGATGTTGGGGTGGGGTGCAACTAGTTTGGCTTTATGTTGGACATTTTTTTAGGTCCATTCCATTCCTACCAGGCAAACTGGTTTATAAGAAAATGGTTGGATAGTTGACAACGGGGATTTCAAGAACCACATTTGTGTCAGACCTGAAACACGAGGTAATGAGGTTTACTGTCAGAATGATGACATCAGCCGCTCGGGCTGTTTAGCAGCTTTTTGAAATGCTGCTAAATTCTTCAAAATGTGGCCCATCTGGGGTTGATATTTCTGCAGAGGTAGGGTCAGTGTCATACATGCTGCTGCTTAACACCAAAGTCCGCTGTCAGCCTGTTGTTCACGCGGTAGACAAAGAGGAATCAATTTCTCAACATTCCTCAGCTTCGATAACCTGTGAGAAGTCAACAAGGCTTCTCTGAGTAATAATTCCCTCCTCCCTCTCCAAACCACCTTGGGTTTTTTAAGCCACCCCCTCCCCCCCCCAGACTGGCATGGAAATGGCCTATATCCATCTCCCCTCTTTTTGTTTGCAATTTGTACACCAATTAGCTAAAAAAAAAATCTGTGCTGAGTAATACCATGTGACGGGCTAATCTCGTCGGGTCTCTGCTACAAATCAAAGTTCTCAGCCTGCCCCCTCCTCACTGGCTGCTTCCCGGCCTGCTGGCCAGCCCAACACCCAGCTCTCGCTCTCGGAGGTAAGGCTCTACGTCTTGGAGGACTCTGCTAAATATGTCAATGGAGATTTAATGTTGAGTGAAGTAACTTTGGTGAACTTACGATGGTTCTCCATGTTCAAACCATATCGCTGAACCGTATTCCAAGATCTTCAGGGTTGGAGGGGTGTAACTATTGAATTTTGTTCCGCAGGAGATTTTCTCCTTGAAAATAGCATCTCTTGCCCACTTCTGCCGTGTGAGAAGCTGTGATAAGAATCCAAGGACATGGCAGTCATTGTAAGTCATGGTTTTCCATTGAGAATGTAGCTCCACTGAAGTTTAAAGAACAGCTACGGATCATGGGGATATTTTGAATTAGGCTGGGAGCATTTTGGATAACATCCATGTACTGTATATCCAATAATATTTCACTGACAATTACGCTGTAACTGAAAACTTAAATTGTATTCGATTTTATTAAGTATTACACTTTTGAACTTGCTGATATCCCCAGCGTCACACCTTTTGCTTACTGGGAAAAATTGCCAGTGACTTTGTACTTGATAAGACGTGGAAGATGGATGGATGGGTAGACGTCGATCAAAGCACTCAGTGGAGTAGATGCTAGTCCTTGATTGCTCTGTTAAGAAGGGCATCCTCTTTTTGGTAGGACTCAGAATCACTGCTGTCAGAAAGAGGTTTATCAAGTTTTCTGAAGACTTGTGAGATTAATGTGCTCCCATGATTCTGCTTAACAGTCAGCAGCAATTCGGAGGCAGCTTTCACGCTATGTTGAGGATTAGTTTGTTTCAAAACTGTTAGGGACCCACACTAAAGTGACAAGTGACCAGTGGGTCTGAGCACTTTACTTGTCCTGCAGGGTGGAAACTTCCGGATGGTATCTGAGGAGGAACAGGCCTTGCGTGCCAAACTGGAAAGACTAACTGTGAAGGATCATGGGCCTGTGTTTGGACCCTGTGCCAAGCTTCCAGACCACACAGCCCAGAAGGTACCGTAGTCGCTTGGCTGGCACCCAGAGTCCTCTATCCCATGAAGACCTGACTGGGCCACAAATGAGCATTTATTGAAGTGCTCTTATTCATTGTGAACCACAGGTCTTGTTTAAGCCAAAAAGCCAGATTATTCAGATAATCCCCAAAATGTGAGCAGATGGTTTACCATCGCCCCCTGCAGGCGAAGGACGAGTTGAATGAGACCGAGGAGAAGCGAGTGGCTGCTGTGGCACAGCTGCGCATGATCATGAACAAGGCGGACAACGGGGACGAGCTGTCCAAGGGTGTGCTGGACACCTTCGGGGACAGATCTGACAAGGTGCTGGTGCGGTTCGTCCGAGCCCGTAAATATGACACGGAGAGAGCCTATGAGCTCATGAAGGGTGAGTCCGGCCGCAAGATTAAACTACGAACAAACCTTGTGTTGGTCTGGTTTAGGGTGGAGAGACCTCTATCAGCCGTGTTGTTTAATTTTTTTTTCTGTTTCTCATGCTGTATTTCTGCTGCATATTCCTAATTCCAGAAGTAATCCATTTTAAGCTGTTCAGCAGTAATCTTGACCCATAAGAAATTGTTGAAATATTTCTGCAGTATCCTCCTGACGTGGTTACCGGAGGTATCGTCGCTGTCTCAGTTTTTCAGTTTAGATTTTTTATTTGCCTTGCTAAGTAAAAAAAAAAAAAAGTATCATTTTTTTTTTTTTTTAAGTTTTTTGTATAGCAAGTATGTAAAACCAGTGATGAAGCCCAGACAAAGCAGCTCTCACAGCTCGAGAGGGAGCTCCAGAAGTACAAAGGCTGAAGCTTAATTTGCCTTTCGGCATTGATGGCTACAGCAGGAACCCCAGATGAGACAAGACTGCTATTGTGTTAACACTGTATGAAAATTCTGGGCTGTGACCTGTCCCAACCAAGACTGCACGGCCATTTCCCATCAACTCTTGCAGGCTACGTACGGTTCAGGCAGCAGTACCCCGAGCTGTTCGAGAACCTGACCCCAGAGGCTGTGCGCAACACCATCGAGGCCGGATATCCTGGCATCCTGCCCACCAGGGACAAGTATGGTCGCGTCGTGCTGCTCTTCAACATCGAGAACTGGGACTACGAGGAGATCACCTTTGATGAGGTATGAGCCATGGCTCTTTTTAGAAGCTCATCTAGGTCAACATTGTACAGATTACAAATGTCACCACTGAATTGATCCTGCAGGCTGAGAGAGTGCAGGTTTCAGATGTGGCCCAGCTTTGGTGTCTGGTGTTATGTTTATATTTTGAAGGTGTTAATACAGACTTCAATGTCAGTAACAGAGTGCTTGTGGATGGAGGCTATTTTCTAAATTAACTCCCAGCTTTGTCTGGATATTTCCCCAGACCACTTCAGATTTTGTACCTTGTTCAAAGTTTCAGAGCAGCCTCTTCTGGGTCATGCAAAAACAGCCATTAGGTGTCCAGACTACTGGCTGCTCATTTTCCAGAAGACCACTTGCCTATATTGCACAGATCCTGCGCGCCTACTGTGTCATCCTGGAGAATCTGCTGGAGAATGAGGAGACCCAGATCAACGGCTTCTGCATCATCGAGAACTTCAAGGGCTTCACTATGCAGCAGGCATCAGGCATCAAAGCCAATGAACTGAAGAAGATGGTGGACATGCTGCAGGTGTGGTGGATGGCCTCATTCCCAAATTGCATTTTCTGACAGCTACATGTTGGGTTGACGTGACCTTATGTGACAACGGTCTTTCTCTTTTGTGAGAAGGACTCCTTCCCTGCCCGGTTCAAGGCCGTGCACTTCATCCACCAGCCCTGGTACTTCACCACCACCTACAATGTGGTCAAGCCCCTCATGAAGAGCAAACTACTGGAGAGGGTGAGTAGGAAAGGTCAGGGACATTAGCATTTAGTGAAGCACGCTGCTCTCAGCACACATTGGAATGTTACTGTGCAGGTACTTATGCACCAAATCTCACTTGTTTAAAGGTGTTTGTTCACGGCGATGAGCTGGAAAATTACTTCAAGGAGTTTGATGCAGACATCCTGCCGGCGGAGTTTGATGGGAAGGGTGCCAAATATGACGGCAAAGCAACCGCAGAAAAGCTATTTGGGTCTGACACTGCTCTGTAACCCTATGATCTCACCAAATTACTGGGTACCCAAAAATACATACTATATTTAATGGTGTTTTTAAGGTATAATGTACACCTTGTTTTGTGAACGCACAACCCTGCTCTCAACAGAACCAGTGCAGTAGTGCTGAAAATAGGTTCCTGGTCAATGGGAGGACTGGAAGGAAGCGTTATGGAAACATCTGAATGTGTAGCAAACATGGTAGTTCTGTATTGCAACATTGACCACAGTAACAAGCACAACCAATGAAACATATTAATGCTTCTAGCCTATCATGTGTGCTAATGTTAAAGCCTAAGGGCCCTGCAGCTGCTATTGGTCACCTCATGAGCTGACCTTCTTCCTTCAGGCCAATGAAATCAGACAGACCACAGATGTAGGGGCCTAGTACCTCCTCTGCCCTAATTTAGGAAGGATAAGTCCCATATTCACTGTGCAAGGACACATATTGTATCCAACAGGAAGTGAACAGTAAAACATCTTAGATGAAACAAACTGCAGTTGACACAAACTAAAGAAATGTTTACAATAAAATGTATATAAACATTTGTCATGACTCATGTGTGACTTCATTAAAAAAAAAATAAATCTAAAAACTGTTGCATATACAATATTGCTTAATGGCTTCTTAAAAAACCCATCTAATCAGCCAATGGACTATCTTGGACTGGGTCACAGAATGGTTGCCATTAAAGGTCAGGCAGCCAGAACCTTCTGGGCAGGATGCCGGTCCGATACGGGGCACATACACTCATTAATGCACTACAGCAGTGTTTCACAATTCGGTCCTTGGGGAGTCCCAGACGGTCCGCATTTTTTGCTCTCTCCCAGCTCCTTGCCAGACAGTCCACAAGAGTGAACCATCTGAGGGTCCCCAAAGATGGGCTTGAGAATCATTGTTCTAAACCCCAGCGGTATAAATTAGCATACTCTCAAAGGACAGTGAGCTTCAATAATTTGTATTGGGAGCCACATGGAAGTAGGTTCAGATGGAGGAGTTAGGTTGAGTTACATATATGTGAAGGGTGGGTGTTGGGTTGGGGTGCAACTAGATTGGCTTTACATTTGACATTTTTTAGGTCCATTCCTTTCCTACTGGGCAAACTGGTTTACATGAAAATGGGTGGATAGTTGACAACAGGAATTTTAAAAACCACATTTGTGTCAAACCTGAAACACAAGGTAATGTAGTTTACTGCCAAAATCAGCCTCTCGAGCTATTGAGCTAGATTTTTGAAATTCTGCTAAAATTCTACAAAATGTGTTCCTGAGAAACTGCACTGCAGGGAGCTTCAGGACACGGATCGGCTTCAGCTCGGCTTCAGCTAGGCCTACCCACACAGGTTTGGCCAGTGTATGTTCTCCCCGTGTCACACGAGTTCCCAGAGTGTAACTCCACTTCCCACCCACACCAGTTTTTAACAGAGATAGGGACACATTTGTTTGTTTTTTCAAAAACATTTCAGTTCTGTGTTCAGTTAGCCACACACAATTCCCGCTTAGTTTTCAAAATGCCACTTTAACAATACAGAGATCAGGTTAATGATTCCCATTTCCTGTAATCCCAGGCCCAACCCTCTGCTGGATGCTTCCCTCAGATGCGATAAATCCACTCACTGAAACGTCTTTCTCCCAATTTCTGTAAACTGCTTCCCATTTTCAAATAGTTTCTACTACAGTTTCATCAACTGTCAACCAACTTACTGTTCAACCATCCGACCTTTGAACACCCTTAAGTAGCTTAAAAACTACATCTTGAATTTTATACTATACATGCAATTTCCAATGTATCAACCAAAACATTATATTAATTTAATGAGGGGCATTCCAATAAATGACAGGAGAGAAAATGTACAAGAAAAATTTTATTTCAGAATATAATTATTGTACAGTCCTCCCCCTCATCCCAGAGATATACCTCACACACCACCTGTGACCTGAAGCCACGCCTTGTGAGGTTGTCACCCCTCCGAAGATGTTGTCATGACTCAAATATATGAGAAATACAAAAGCAAAGATAAGGCCACAGTATGTTGTTATATTAATGGTTGTTAAAAAATGGGACCATCACAGTGTTTGAACAGGCAGGTGGACTGGAGACTCCGGAACAGCTCTGTGGTCCATGGAAACGGAGCAGCTTATAGTCTACGGCTGACTGACAAATGCAGCTGTACAGCACAGGCGAGGCAAAGACGCCCGAGACAGTGGCAAAGGGCCCAACGTAAATGTCATCAAAATATATATATATATATATATATATATTTTTTTAAATCTCAGCAAGCCACCATCCTATTCCAGCACGTAAGTACATACACCTGCAGTTAGTAGACAAGGACTTCTAAAAGGCTTAAAGCTCACAGTGAGACTTTCGACATTCACTGTCACACGCACCGCATGGTAAATTGGTTTCTGTACACACTGCTGCTACGTGAGCTGTGACCCAGCCCACAAACTGTCTTCCATTAGGATACACCAAGGGGGAAAGTCTTAAGGAAAAATAAGACCACCACCCATCGAAAAGATCGTCACTGGTCCCCTTCATCTGAATCAACGAAGACACGAGACATGAATTACTACAGAAAGAGACCACACACACACACTCTCTCTCTCTCTCTCTCTCACACTCACACTCACACACACACACACACACACACACACACGAAATATGTATACAAGTAATAAAGATTATTTAAAAATACAAAACCATTCTAAATAGTGAAGTTGCATATAAATCTATAACAGCATGAACAGCAACTAATTCAGATAAATGTCATAAACAACTGATAGGAGGGTCCCATACACTGAGCAAGGGAAATAAAGGAGACTTAATGGTAGTACATTAACAGGATGACTGACTAGCAAATCATGAGGATGACAGCTTGTGTGCTTGGGGGCTAAAGGTGCCACTGTTGATGATACACAACACTCTTTGGTGGGTGTTACTATACATTACTGACACTAGGGGGCAGACACAGGACACCTAACACAGACAAAAACAAAACCCTTTCTTATAGCCTGCTGTGTCCACTTGTTGTATATTAAATGAAAATTTAATATTAGAATAATTTCAGAGGGAAAAAAAAATAATGATGAATCCGGTGTTTTTCATATTTAACAAGATTTCAAAGACAAAAACTCACACACCTTGCTTGACGTAAAAATATTTTGTTTAAATTGAATTGTCTCATTTTAAGCTACCAGCAGCAATTTTTGTTTTAAATCTAACGGATTGTCAAACTCCCCTTCACAGACATGCACAGATACATTCACTTTACATAATGCTTATACTGAAAATAGGTTAATTTAAATAAAGCTTGAATTGTAATAAAGATATGGCTGTTTAATTGCCGGCTTAAACATTAAATAATCGGCTTGAAGATGCACACTCTCTGACAAACACCCACGGCTCTTTGGCGACAAGGAGATCGAGATGCGAGAGAAACCGGAGCGCGGAACAGCAAGCCCTTCAGCCGTATGCAACGCTCTCGGTTTAACAGTCATTCTTCTGTGCTGCTTTTCCTTCACGTCAGAACACCAGAAATTCCTCACGACTGCCGAAAACACCCCCTTTCCTCAAACCCACACAAAGGTGCAGCGTTATTAAGGAGAAAAAAAACCATTTGGTTTCGTTTTTGGCTAAACAGCAATGACCACACAAAGCAGACCACAGCATAAGGGCTAGACTGTCCTGCGCGCTTCAAAAAACAAAAGAAGAAAAAAAAATGGGCCCGGCTAATCTCCCGCTGGACCACCCCTTTAACCATGAGTTGTGCAACTTGGTCTGAAAAGTAGCATCTTCAAAAAAATGGAATAATAAGCTAAATCGGAAGCCAGTTTCAGTCAGATGGAAGCTAGCTAACTGAAGAAACAAAGGCTCACACACCAAGAGCTTTAAAAACATCATAGTCAGCTGAGTACAGTACAACTTAGGAAGTATGCCCCCCCCCCACCTGCTCAGAGACAGACAAACACTCTCACATGTCACCTCCCTTTGCGTCAGGCGATATCTATCTGTTAGGTGCTTTTTTCGGATGACAGAGGGGATATTCAGGGATGCTGATGGATCCATCTAATTCCTCAGCTCACCCCCACCACCAGTCAAATAAAAAGCATTAAGTGCACTTTACGTTGAATTTGGGGGGGATAGGGGTTCATTGAAGGCATTATGGGAAAGACTCTGGATCCTGCAGGATTTGCTGAAAGGAGCTCAGCTCGGTTAAAGCAACTGGCTGCAGTCAAGCCGTTTGTTTGTGCCCCATTACCCTGTCTGTCAGAACAGTCTTCATGAAGGAGAAGTCCAGGACACCACGAGTGAAGCCACCAAACCCAACAGGCTTGAGTGACGTAGTCAGGTTCCCGACGGAGCCCTCCTGGTCAAAGCCAGCCTGGCCTCCCCCCTGCCCTCACAGTTCAGTCACCAAGCTGGAGACGTAACATCTTACCAGACTTGGCAGTGACCTCACAGCCACCATGACACGGTGGAAGTGCAGAGCAGTGGGCCTTGTGAGAGCCAATGAAAAAGGGGGGAGGGGAGAGGAGAGAGACGGAGGGGGCGGGGTTAGGAGGAGTCCTCCGAGCACTCGGTCTCATCGCCCTGCGCACCCCCACATGGCTGCTTCCGCTTCTCCCACTGGCAGATGGTGTTGGCGTACTCCACGATCACCTTGTCCATCCAGGTGAGCGGCTGTGGAAACAGCACAGCGCCCTCGAAGAAGCCCAGGTGGCCTCCATGCAGAGTTAGGGCAAACACGGTGTTCTGCTTCTTCTCTGTAAGGGCGAGAGGAGCTCAGGTCAGCGAGCAAAAGGCACTGCTGCAGAATGGGGGAATGCACAGCCAGCATGCCCCCCCTCCCCCCCCCTCCCTATGATTACCACTCAGCAAAGCTTTCTAGGCAAACAATGACTCCACTGACATCATCCCCCATCGGCCAGGCGATGGACACTCAAGGGTAAGCAATTTGATTGTCGTTTCAGGTTCTATCACCCTACACCCGAGGCCCATCTGTTACCATATACCTGGGGTGCCCAGATCAATCCCTGGATGGACTGAAAACAGAGAAGCGGATTCCTTCAGTGACACTGAGAACGGAAACGAAGATGCCAGACACCATGCCACTGACGGCTACGACGGACAGCCACGGAGTGCGGGGACCCTGCAGACAACTGATCTCTGGGGGAAACGAGGCCAGACATGGAGGCAGCTAGTGGGCATGAGGAAGAAACGCTGGCCAGTAATGTTCTAGGGAGCTGAAGTTGCCAAATCTAATTTCAGCTACTATCAATGTCTCTTAGACAAACCATCAGGAAATTCCATTTATGCCAACTCACGTGGCCAAATGGCAGAACATATCATGTCCCGGATTTCCTTAAGGTTAAGTGGTTTGGACCAAAGCTCACGGACCGAAAATCTGCACGTGATTATGGCATAGCTGGAGAAGTGGTCCAGAACCACCAGTGGTACAGGAAGGAGTCCTACAGGATGGCACATTAACCGGGGGCGACTGGGAGACCAAGCAGCCCTTTTCTGAATCAGCAAAGCCCTATAAAACAGCAGAATCACACCACTGTGAAAAATTCAACACAGCTGTATTAGCAAGAGCACATTAGAGGTGGATCACCTGCCTGAAAATGCCATTTTCCAACAGGTGATGTGGGAAGGATGGCGGAGTCACGGAAATGACAGAGATATGAACATAAGAACATAAGAAATTTACAAACGAGAGGGGGCCATTCAGCCCATCAAGCTCGTTTGGGGAGAACTTAACTAATAGCTCAGAGCTATTCTAAATCTTATCTAGCTCTGATTTAAAGGAACCCAGGGTTTTAGCTTCCGCTACACTAGCAGGGAGACTATTCCATACTCTAACTACATGCTGTGTAAAGAAGTGCTTCCTCAAATTTGTTTTAAAATGTTCTCCCGCTAATTTCCACTTATGGCCACGAGTTCTAGTATTTAAACCAATATTGAAATAGCCATTTGGCTGAACAGCATCCAGACCCGTTAGAATCTTATAGACCTGGATCATGTCCCCCCCTTAGTCTCCTTTGCTCAAGGCTAAACAGATTCAGCTCAGCTAACATGCAGTGGGTTTGCTGGAGAGAGCAGGTTTGGAGGAACCAGGCCGCAGAAACATGGTCCAACTGCTGCTGCACAAACCCAAAAGTCCCCAGAGCAGAGCTCTCTACAATTACAGACTCAAATAACACATGGCCGGATCTGTGAGCCTACGCCCCTTCTACTCATGACCGAGAGAGACAGACATCTGGTCGAAGTATAATTTAGGACCTGACGAGGGGAAGCCCGTTTTAAATTAAAATGAAAACCACGCAGAAAGTTTCCCAATAATCTTTAAAAATAAACACTCCCAGGAAATGCAATCTAACTGAAGCGGACAGCATCCTCATGAAAAAGTCATTAAACGGGGCACGGAAGGTGCCAGAAAGGAGACGGGCAGCCAACCTGCGAGCGTGCGGGGGATGGTGAGCAGGGAGTTGTGCACCAGAGGGTCATCGGCAGAGTTCACCAGCAGCAAGGGTACGTCCACCTGGGGCAGGAGAAGGGAGGGCGCAAATTAGGAGGGTCAGGTGACCTTTTGGGATCTGAAAATGTTCTATTCTAACAATGTTAATGTTAGAACAATGTTCATTTGAAGTTGCGTAATAAATTAAGTGTTTTTCCTGTGGCCTCGTGAAGTGCGGGAGGACTCACATTGTGAATGTAATGCACACAGCTTTCCTTCTCGTAGTACTCCTTCAATGAACGGTAGCCGTGGAACTTTCTACCGGAAAGGAAAGAAACAGCTACCATTTCACCATACTGCCTAACACCACCATGACCTCAGCAGGGCCTGCAAACCCCCCAGAACTGAGGGCCAGGACCCCCCCCCACCTCATGATGTTGTCGTCGATCTGCGTGAGCGAGGTGGCTGTGAACAGGTGACCCAGGTCTGCATCCGTCATCTTGCTAGAGGACCCAGTAAACAAGCTTCTCCTGTGAGGAAAGAGAGAGAGTCAGAGGATATTTCCAAAGTATCACCATGTGAAAGCAGAGCCCCAGAACAGAGGCTTCCAGAACCACCACGGGGGCATTTTTTTAAACCCTTTAAAACACCCCCACCCTGTTATTCCCGAAATTCATACATGGTTTCGTGTCATTGGGCCTATTTACATTCGTGGTATTTATTTGGTCTGTCTTCATCATGTAACCCATCAGTACCTGTGAGCGAGGATGATCTTCTTCATGTTGTCAGCCATAAGGAAATTGTAGAACCTTCGGCACTGGTCCCATTGGAAGAACGTCTCCTGGGCTCTGGGGGGGGGGGGAAACACAAACAGGACGGCCCATCACCAAGAAGCACACCCACTTGGAACCAGCTGTTCAACGTGCTTGTGCAGTTACAGACATCTATTAAAAAGGCATGGGGAGATTAGCTTTGAAGTGTAAGATGGTGAACCCCCCCCCCCCAGGGCATATCAAGGTTAGGTGACAAGTCCATTCATTCCTTCACATGGGTCCTATTACAGTCCCTTTTTCTCCTGACCCAGGAGACAGGAGTCTCAACCCCATACCCATCTGTTACAGTGTAAAGGCCATATTTCGCTTTTGTGCGTCTCCTCTGCTCCGTGACACATAGGCCCCACATGCCTGTGTCACATCACTCTGTTCACTGTCCCTGGCTTGATGTTTTATATTCGCAATGTGGGGGAAATTAGGGATTTGAAATGAGAAGCTGAGTGAAAACATCAGGAAACAATTTAATTTTCTGTGCCTGTGATGTAACAGCGCCGAAGGGAGCGAGGACATCTAAACAAACAACATATATGCCGCATGCGCAGTGATCGGCAGGCCTTCGCGCAGTGATCGGCAGGCCTTCGCGCAGTGATCGGCAGGCCTTCGCGCAGTGATCGGCAGGCCTTCGNGCGCAGTGATCGGCAGGCCTTCGCGCAGTGATCGGCAGGCCTTCGCGCAGTGATCGGCAGGCCTTCGCGCAGTGATCGGCAGGCCTTCGGATGGCGGGTGAAACATTTGGCCGGACGCCAGCTTCTCGGTGCTATACGGACGTTTATTTACGCCCACAATTTGTAAAGCAGGTTAGTAGTACAGCTAAAACATTAATGAGGCATTTTATCACACCCAAAAGTTAGTAATCAATCAAAATTTAGCAAATCCTTTTGTTTAATAAACGTGTCAGACTTTTAACTGCAAAAAGTACATCGTTTATCCATAATATCTCCCCTTTTTAAAAGATGTGGCTGCTGGACTGTTTCTTTCTTCACCACCACTTAAGTGCATATCGCATGTCGCACTGACGTATACCAAACCATGGTATACCAGAACAGTATTATGTGGTGTGCTCCGCTAACCGAATTTAATAAACATAAACATACACCAAGTGCATGCAGATCATTAACTTTTGGGTGTCACAAAATGCATCTCAATTTATGGGCATAAATAAATGTCCGTATAGCATGTTTCACCCACCATCTGAAGCCCTGGTTCTGAGTGCACATGTGCGATATAATATCGATATGACATCGCGTAGGCCTATAGCGACCACTGGATAACTTCTGAGTGACACTGATCTCATCCAGTAACATTTGGTTTGGAGATTGGAGAGTTACCCTAGCAAAACAATGAAAATTAACTACACTTCAAAAACATCATAGGACAAAAATATACACCTACAGCCATTTTTAACTGCAGCATTATTAATATATATGTAATATATCTACACTCATGTAGCACACAGGGCCGTGAATCATCAGCTACAATCATGAGCAGAGCAGTCTGCCCATATCTGCCTGGACCAGCCCCGTCTGTACATGTATATCCTGTCACGCCTGGTCACACCCTAGACGCCGTGCAGGCTGGAGACGTCGGCAAGGTGACGGCCCCTTCATGTCAACCTCATTCCACAAGGTTCTCTCATGTCTCCCAAGGAAGGTGCTCATTCTTTCCAGAGACGAATGCGGCCCCTTCAGGCATTTGTTGTTATATCAGAAATGACATCACCACAGGGCTTGCAGGACTGTTAAGTGGAAACTAAGTTTAATAAAAATTTAGAACATCAGCAGGCTGTCATATGGTGCTTTAGTGTTCCTGCAGGGAAAAATCTGCCCCAATTTACAGATGACCCATCGAGCCCCAAAGCAGGGCACCCCATTCCTCAACAAGGTCTAATGTCAGAGTAGCACGAATGTGACACCCCGGGTCTGCGGTACTAAGAAAACGAAATTCTATCAGGCAAAATGCCAGTGAGGGCAACCAGTGGGGGGAGTTATCCACCTGAGGGCGCTGTAGCCCTGGCACAAGCTGACGCCGCACAGCACCCTCTCCTGGTTGGCGTGGTTTTCCCCCAGGTACTTGCAAACGATGTTGCCTCCCAGACTGAAGCCCACCACCACGAGCTGGGTCTCTGGGAAGGTCTTCTTGATGTGGCTGACCATGGCGGAGAATTCCCAGGTGCAGCCTGAATGGAAGGTGACAGTTCAGGAAGGGCACAGCGTGCACGCAGCGTGCACGCGGGTTCCAAAGGTCACGTGCGGCATGTGACGTGCCGGCAGACCAAAGACCACACGTGCTCCCAGGAGAACGTCAGCAGGCCTTACCATAGGTGAACATGCGAGGCGAAGTCAGCTCGATGTTGGGCAGGGCGCCCAGGTGATTCAAAACGGCACACCTGTAACCCTGCCGCTGGGAGTAATCCACAAAGGTGCGGACATAATGCTTCTCGCTGTGGTTACCGATTCCAGGGCATATCACCATGGTAACATCATCTGGATGGAGAGGACGGGAAATGACATGCAAGACCATACTAACTGTTCAGGGATGTATTTGCACAAAGCCAAGACAGTGCCAGAGATCTCCATGAGTCACCTCACAGGTCCGCAACAGACACGTGACGTTTATATGCCTGGATAAACACCTGTAGCCCGATGCAAATACTCCTCAGAATTAGCCATTCTGTCCGCCCGTATGTAAACTAACGGGTCGGGTTGTCCAAACCGTATAGGTTCTGCAAAGCCGCCCTCTTATCTAGATAAAAATTTCCCTTTGCGCAACAGAGGAAATGAGACGTCAGCGAGTTGTTATTTTTGTTTCTAGGTAACAGAACATCAACAGTGTAGCAAAGAGGGGAAAAAAATGGTCACATGGGATTTCTTACCTCCTGTCAGGTGGTCAGCCAGTGGTTCGAAAAGGTCAAAGGTTGCGGTGGCACCATCTGGCATGGGTAAATACTTCCGCTGCCCATGTGGATGGGGTGAATTGACCCGCCCCAACTTCCCATACAGAGCCGTCTGCAGGTGCCCACTTTTGCCCCAGAGGAGAGGTGGAATGTAGCTGAGAGAAAACCACAATATATTCACACCCATGAGCACATCTGACCTTCTGAGCATTTTCCAAAAAAAAACAAATACAAACACTCCATGGTCACCTTGCAAGATAAGCACCTATCACCAAGTGAATAGTTCAGGTTCAGAAAGTTAAAAATCCAGGCAAAGATTGTTTCAACTAACCACCTGAGTACTCTGTGACTCTTTATATTGGACTAGTTGGTTGAAATAGAATCTTGGCCTGGGTTTTTACTTTCTGGGCCTGAACTGTCCACCTCTGCTTATCACAGGACACGCAAAAGTAAGAATGCTACAGAAAGATGCTCCACAAAACTCAGGAAGGAGGCTCAGAGGCGTCGATTGGTGCAGGGAGACCCGGGCGGCCCCCACTGAGGACAGGCAGGGAGTCTGATACGGGGCACAACAGCAAACACACACAGCAGAACAAGTCCACGGTTACATTAGCAGTTACATAATCCTGCATGTGACCCCATATGGCCATAACCTTGCAAACCCCCACCTCAACTAAGCAAAATTTGATGCCTATCCAACAGGCAATCCTCAACTCACCTGTCATCTGTTTTACCTCGTTTCAAACTTTAATGAATATAAAGCTTGCATGTTAATGGTTTTCCCACTAAATGACCTGCTGACCATGTTCACACAAAGATCAGGCACTGAACGGCAGGACATTCCTGCGGAAAATGAGTCCATAAAACCAAATCCGGTGTTATAGAGTGAAATTCTTTGTGCTTAGCGTAGTGCAGAACACTATTTTATTCCAAAACTAGCATGTTGCCTCATTAAACTTGAAGTCTGAGGTTGCATTTATAGCACAATAAAGCCTAAATGTCTTCATAACAACGTCTCTTGTCACTCACATTTTAAACAGTTTGTTATTGAGCACCAGAACATTGCTGCCATAATGACTCGACACTGCTGAATTGCGGAGGTGGACGAGCCTGCGGCGCGCAAAATAATCAGGACACCGACGACTCAGATGTTTGTAGGACCTTCACAATGACAGCAGTAACGAAAGGGCGCAGACATTTTCCCAGACCCGTTTGCATTGCATGCATTTCACAGGAGCAAGTGAACTTTAAAAGGAAGGTGTTTACAAAACTACAAAAAAAAAAAAATGTGTGCCAGACAGTGAAAAATGTAAGCACTTAACGTGATCTGGATCCATGTCATCTCGACCTTTTGCCTATAATACACTCACTGGGCAGTCCGCTGAACTAAGAGATTAAAAGGTAATCATCTGTGTGGGAACTGGGCCAAAGACCCAAGACGCCCATTTGACTGATAACACTGCCAGTCGCTTTAGTTTTGGGAAACGGAGGCTCTGCTCTCACGGTGAAAGAACGGCCTACCGGATAACGACGAGTGTAACAAAGCAGCTGTTTGAGAAGAAGGATGTTATAAGTGTTGTTCCTCTCCGTATCTTCGTGCGGGAGGATTCCTGCCTTTACAAATAAACTGCCTGCATTATTAATGGAAACAATTAAAAAAGCTTCACCAAAGAAAGCAGCGAGCAAGTGTCAAATAAAAGCCTGAAACCACAAAGGTCAAAGACCCTTCTCTTCAAATGACCTACACCGAAGTCTATTAGTCACAGACGAGTACTGTCTCAACATATCCAAGCATATCAGAATAACCAGGTAAGGTAAGAGAGAAATCTGTATTCTGCTGAAGAAAACGTGACTGAAAGGAACATCTCTACTGAGAGAGATGAAACTCAAGGTTGGAAGCAACGTCTCACGGCTTCCCTGGCATTGCATCGCTGCTTCACACATTTCACTACTGAACCCTCCGCAGAACACAGTAAGACTATGTACTTTTCTCTACCAAACAATATCCCAGCAAAGAACGTCCAGTCCTGGATTTTGAAGCCATAGTTCCACAGCCCGTGGGTGTGAGTCCTCCAGTAAAAGGATCCAAGCACAGGAATGAAAAACATAGCATTGTTTGGGGAATGATTGAGCAATACAATGATAGCGGTATTTTCTTTACTCATTCAGTATGGGGGCAGGTGGAAAATGGGCTTACTCTTTGGTCAGTAGGGGGGAGGACTTCAACAGGAAGCGGTTAAGGGGCGTGTCCTGATAAGTGAGGTCGGGGGGGGCCGTGGGGCTCTTCAGATTCAGAAGGCGAACGATGACATAGAGCACAGTGGCCACGGCAGCCAGCTTCATCCCGTCGAACACGGCAGGCATCTCCGGGGAGATGAGGTGGCCTTGTGCCTCCTGGGTAGACATGTTGACTGTGGGGGACAGATAATCAGGAAGGTGAATCACACAACGTCTGCGATCCAAACAAACATTTGCATACTCAACAGCAGAACGCATGCACAGCTACGGAACACCGGTCATCTTACTGGTGATTCTCCCTGAATTTTGCTATGTCATCCAGCACGGGGTAGAGTGGAGTCACAGTGATCTGGTCCAATCTGCAACAGAGAGAAGTACTTCAGTATTACTCAGGTCAAGCGGATGAACAGCAACTGGCAGAATCACACTCCCACAGTATGTAAGCATGTAATCTCTCCGCACACACGAGTAAACAGAAACAAAATCAAATAAACATCTGACTATCCGAACTAGAGGACATTCTTAAGACAAGTTGAAGTCTTTCAGAGAAACTTCCCTAACAGGTTCTGGCTTTGTAGTGGTGCGGCCAATTTCCCAGTCACAGAGACTGGTAGAAAACCGGTTCAGATGAACTCAGTGCCCATTATATGGAACCACTGTTAACCAACAGCTCGCCAGTCAAGTCAACAAGATACATGAGGTAAAACACACTAGCAACTTGATTCTGTGACTAGTCAGATTTCCTGTGAAATCTCACTTCGCCATGCCTTCACTATCAGGGTGAGCTAAATTGTCTGTGATGAGCAATGAAATGCTGCAAATAGTTTCAAGAAGTATTTTGCTATTCATGCCAGCAGCTTGGCAGTTTTCACTGCTTCTACAGAATCAGGTTTGCGTGACTGGGTTCGTGTCACATTTAAGAACCACACTGAGGACTCCGTACTTCTCCAGTACCACCCAAATGGGAAGCAAAGGCAAATAAATCTACAAAATCATTCTCCTGTGTGACCATTTTCTGCACAATTTAACCTAATTAGCAGAGGTGACTTTCTTGACCTGGATGCCTCTGAACACTCACAGACTTAAATATCAACAAAAGACAAACATTCGCTCCCCATAATTAGAGCGGTCGAGACTGACAATTCAAAAAGCATCATCGTCAGGTGGAACAGCACCTAACCAGGATGTCAAAAGGTCGAAATGCTCAGATTTATTTAATTGCTTATTCCTAGTTTGTTTTGGGTATTTTTTGTGACTAACCCAAACGTCATAGATAAAGCATGGAGACACGTACAGTGAAAGGGGCTGTTTTTCCAAGGAAACATTGTAACACTCATTTACTAAGGCGTTTTGTAATGTGGGATGGTTAACTGACGTCAACATTTTAAAGCAAATTTACAAAGGTATCTGGCCAGGCCAGGAATACAGAAGCAGAATTAATTTCTGAATAAATCATGAAACCATTTGCATTTATGACTTAAGGAATTTAACAAGTTAAGCAACGCGTTATTTTGATAAGAAAACCATAAACATCAGAACATACACGGGGAAAACTCATATACTAAAAGAACACAAACACATAGTAATATAAACCACGATTCTACATGGATTTCAAAATATCTGCAATACAAAAATTTTGCCACACGAAATAATAATACATAAGATAAAATGAAGCGCCGGTGACCTTGCGCGTCGCCGATTGCCGAAGTGCAAACAGCAGGGGGCCGGACACGCTGAGCTTCCTGCAAAGCCGATTGTCCGGGGCTCCGACTCAGCGTGCCTTTGCTTTCCTGTGTTTACCGACCACAGGCTACCTCGATCCCACCCGATCTGAATCGTCTATTTGCGGGCAAAGCCATTTTATGAGCTCGGTGGTTAAGAACCTCCCTTGGGGCTCTAAGGAAACGCCGAGAAGCGCCTTATCGATGTCCTTTGAAACTGCAGCCTTTTACTACGGCTCGGAAAGCGGACATTAAACATTAACACGGCATCCAGTAAACACTAGATCCAGGACAGACAACTACAGGCATGGGCAAAATAATAAAGTCCCAACTCAAGTTAGAATGGAGAACAGAGCTGTTTAACACGAGAACTTCCGGGGCACAGAAAGTTCCACAAGTTCTCTTAAATATTTCATTCTCTGCTGCTTTTATTCACTTAGCCTATAACAAGTTGATTAAAGTAGCATATTATTACTACAGGGTAAATTATGTTGCTACATAGCCTATTGCAATACCTTCATTTCCTAATCATTAAGCTGATTCCAAAAAAACAACAACTAACTTCCCCTTATCAAACCAGTCAACAAGAAAACTTCAGAGACATTTAATAACGCATAGGCCTACTTATAAGAAAAAACGCCCCCAAATCCAAAAAGCTGTACAATCCGTACGCTTTGGTTAACTGAACGTCTAACTGAACTTCATACTATAACGCATCCAATTTCCGCTGTGAGCTAACTTGCACTTCAGTGTTTTCTTAAAAACAAAAACAACAACAAAAACAAAAACAATTAAATAAAGCAATATGGTCCCGTCAAACATATCTCTTCATCAGGCCTAACCAGGAGTTTTTTAAAACGTTCTTCCAACAACCAAAGAAAATGTACAGAAAATTTAACATTAGGCAACTTCTGTTAAGAAAATATTCGAAAGCAATAAAATCATTTCATAAATGACAGTTAAACAGTTCACAACATCATAACAGAAATATCAGGAAATATGTTGTAATGATAATGAGGGCATAAACAGCGCTCCTTTACGCCGTACCTGCCGACAGCTCACAGACGAAGCGCTGTCACAGAGATGCTCGGCCACCAAACCGATATACCTGATGGTGACAAGTCCTTTAACCGTAAAAATCCGTCCCATCAAACTCCCCCCAAGTGCGTAAAAATGAGAGACGGAGATGGAACTTCGTAACGCCGTTCATATCCGCGTACGAGAGGCAGGTCCGCCCCCTGCGGGTTCTCATTAGAGCGCTCACGCCGGACGCACGCAGGACATTATCCATTAAACGTACGAGCTCGACTCCGAAGCAGGCAGCGAATAGAAAAACAAGGTAGATACTAGTCAGTTAATGTGACACCAGAGAATCGTCATTTCACATACAAGAGCGTAAACTGATGACTGTCTCTTTTTTATTTTGTATTCCGGGCTAATAAACTAGGACAATGCATACACCCAATGATCCCCTGACAACTGGTATGTAACATTAACCAACTTCGACTGGGAATCACCCAGAAACAGTCTGTTCCGTGTTACATTATTCATCGACCGTGCGTTTGCTAAGTCGGACATGCAAGCCGTATACCGTGTTACTAACACAAACGACTTTTAGCCATTTCTAACCACACCAGTAAAAAAAAAAATTATGACACCCCTTCAGTTCACCCAAGCCCACCCTGGCAGACATTTTAACATCCGCCTCGGGGTCCTGTCTCAATTCATTAGTTAAATTATGATATGTTCTGGTTACTTTTCAGATCCTAAATGTGACATTGCATTCCCGCTTCAACTTATTTGACGACCCTGGCAGGCTACTCTGCCTGGCTAACCAGCAAAATAAAACGCAAAGGAAGATAGGCTACTGAATTAACCAGATGGCATTTTATAGAAAGCGATGCCAATTCCAGCGGGGGTGAAACAGCGATATATGTGAATCGCACTTTAAAAAGCGTTACAATGTATCCGTAAAAATGAAGACAACAGCGCACTCGATAATAACAACCCAGAGCGCCACCCACCACCACAGCTACACAGCGGGCCGATCTCTCCCCAGGAAGTCCCCCCTTCTGAAAATGCCCCTACCTCCCTCGGGTCTCGCCTCCCCCAGAGCCCTTCTTCGCTCCTTCCTCTGCAGCTTGATCAATGTTGATCCATAGTTAGCCCTTCGCCGGTCTCTAGCGCTTTCCCTGCCGGAACCTGGACACTTGCAGCCCACTCCACAACCCCCACCTCCAGCCCAGTCGACCCGGATCGTATTCAGCCGGGGTCCAGTCGCAATCACGTCATACACGAATCCGTTCCAGACACCCCGGTACTGTGTAAAGTCCCTCCCGTCCTACAGCAGGCACCAAAGATCCTGGCGTATGGAATAATTGCATCAAAACTTTTTGCAGCAGTGGTTACAGCAACTACATGAAGGACTAGATGAGCGCGTGCTGCCCTGTCTTCCATTGAGAGTTTAATAGTTTTAGGATCGCCAGTTGCCTGCCCCATAAAATATTTACAACGCAAAATACTTTTCATTGTTCGAATTTGGACTTCCTTAAGTAACACATCAATGACACTGGTGTAAAGCTAATGCTATTTTATAGCAGATTTTAACAGCAGTTTGCATTTATTTAAATTTTGGAATATAGGCTCAAATACAATATTGTGCCCTAACTTCAGTAGCTGGGAGTGAAAAAAACAGTTTCGGATAACTCACTGCTTTTGTTTCACATGCATCCCGTGTCAAACTGATGTGATTAGTAACTGACTATGAACATTGAAACGACAAATTGGCTTTTTCAACGCGCGACACACTGGGGCATGTTTCTGAATGATGGCTGCTGCCGGGCGGCCGCTTCGAGGCGATATTCAATCACATAGAAATTCACCTTGTGCTTCATTTTGTACACTTTGATGTAACTGCTTTATTTATAAAATGTAGAAAATTCAACCGATGTACGGGCTGTTTGTTAGAGCTGTGACGTTCGCGAACGAACCGATTCTTTTGAACGGCTCATAAACATGAACGATGGGAGCCGAGTCGCGGCTGGAGGGGAGCCGTTCTTTCTGTCGTTCTTTTTTTCCTATGCGTGTTTCACACAGATGCACACAAATTAGCTCCTCCGCGAGACAGAACAGTTATAGGGGGAGGGGCGCACCCAGCGCAGGGGTGCTACTGCCTAACAGCATGATGATAGTTGTGCACGCATCCTTTACTTCCACATTGTGTGGAAGTGTTTGTAGTAAAAGCTGTTTTGCACAGAAATTCATTGCAGCCGGCTTTGTTTTTGATGTTTATTTGTGAGTAGGTATTGTATGAATAACATAAGTCAACGTAGCTTTACACATACACACACTTTGTACTAAAGGTAAATCCAAAATAGTGATGTCACTGTCTAAGCAGAGGGATGTTGTGCAACCATATGGAATATAGTACACACATGACAAATGAGGTAATAATCAATATTTCAGAATAATTCAAACTCAGATATTGGTGTGTGATATCTGAGTTTTAATTATTTGACTACAAATCTCACCTCATCATTCCTCCCAGTGATTATTTCCAGGATAAACTGAGATGCCCCCAAGCTGGCTTCTTAAAACTGACTAAATATTTAAAAAGAGCCAAAAGAGCCGTTCTTTTGAACGGCTCTTTGAAAGGAACGGATCGCCAAGATCCGGATCCCCTCAAAGAGCCATAAATCCCATCACTACTGTTTGTCTCTTAGTATGGACTGCTATTTGTTCTGAACACATCGGATGTAAAGCATACCTTTTGAGCACAATGAAAGCAGGATTTTCGTGATGTAGTGAAACAGGTGAAGTCACGCCCTGTTTGCCTCAGTTAGGGTGGAGCGTGTACTGATAGAACTAAGGTGTATTATTGTAATATATATAGCTTAGAATCATGGACGGAATTACGGGGGTTAGTAACCCACCAATAATTAAAACCGACGATACAACCCCTAGACTTCCCTAAATGGGTGGAAACCTCAACCCCCCAATATTCAACCTGAAGTTACCCCATTGGGTTAAATAATATTCAAATATCAAAAGGGGCAGTTACGCCAAAAATCATTAAGCTGTATCTCGTTACCTATACGTTAGAATCGAGGGCTGTTTAATAATAGGCCTACATTTTAAATTCTGACGCACTCATATTGAACAATATACTTTGATCATCCGCTATACGTTAGCACAAGGACAAACTTCACAATAATAAACGTTTTTGTCCTTTTTTAGACTAAGTGCATTTACTGACTACTAGTACATTCATTCACTGGGCCCTGCTGAGCTTTCCAATACACAGTATAGTGTATGATTGTGTATGTGACAAATAAAACATGAAACACTGCGTTGATCGAAACTTCTCTCGGCCACCTGCGCGTCTGGACACCAGAAAGAGCAGCGCGCTTCTGATCGCTGGTTTTTGAAACACCATCTGGGAAGCAGCAGACAACTTTTTACTGGTACTGAAGGGAAGCACTGATGGAAAATAATCTTGTCCTTAAAACAGCGGTAGCACTCCCTCTCAACCTTAGCACAGAAGGCTTTGATAACCTTAACACATGACATTAGCAAATCAACATTTTTTAATTCAAGTCTGTATTTTTGCATATCACAAATAACAATGCAGTGCTACTACAGCGTAATCAGTTTAAGTTGCTTAATAGATTAGGCCTATAAATGCTTTGTGCTGGAAATAATCAACGTTCTGAATATCTAATCCACTAAGGGGCTTTTTTGCATACAGAGTCTGTTTATTTTATAGGCCTACTTAGGCTACCTTATTTGCTAAGGAAAGTTAAGCAGAAAATAATAAGTACAGAAAAGACCGCTACAGTGTACGTCCAGCATTGAACCCCCCACCCCCTCCGTCCCCACCCACGCAGCCGCGAGGACTCGGAAGGCAGAGTCGCTGGATGGAGTCCGCCGTCAGTCCGTCGGGCTCGATGAAAGGACGCGCACCTCTGGCCGCTCTGCGGACGCGCTGACGTTAGCGTCTTCGGGAAACATTAAAGCTGCGGTAGTTAATAGCCTAAGTGAAAGCCAAGAAATATGAGAAGTCGCGGTTGCTCTGTTTCCTTCGCACTTTTAGGTATTTATTTAAATGCTTTTTATACAGTCCAAGGTAAGTTTTCCTTTCTCTTCTTTGGGGTTTAAATTTCATGCATATACATATTTCATGCATATAATGCACTGAAATTGTAAATAGCCCACAGTGGAATATTCTTTATGAATGTTTGATAGTGCAGTTGTGTACACTGCCAAACTTGCAAGTGCTTACGAAGCTGAGTACAACGGATTGACAGGGTGATCCTTAGGAATGTCACCGACACGACTTCAGTTGAAATACAGCAAGATGTCCGACAGGAATCAGTGCGTATATTTTCTGCATATCTCTTTGATGAAGAAATTGTTTTTTATTTATTTATTTATTTATTTATTTGCATGCTGTAATATAAATTAATCCGTTACGCGCCGGACTGTAGTATGTTTTTTTAATCAGTTTATAAGCGGTACAACGTTGACAATTAGGTTACCTTTGTACGAGACAACTACTGTATAACGGTTATTGTCTTGGCCGTTTTTTTTAATATATATATTTGGGTTTAAATACCTCCTTTATGTGCCAAGTAAAAAGCCTTTTATATTTGTAATTTAAGCAGCTATTTCCGCCTTTGTTCTGTTGCATTCACTCGAAAGTTCCTTGGAGAGTATAAAATGAGTGGGAGACGCTCTCCTCCTACAAACAGTGCAACATTGAAATGCGCTGGACGTTCTGCGAGCCAGTAAGCAGGGGGATCAAAAGGACCCTTCTGCGGGATAACCGTACGTGCAGCACCCTGCTTTGAACAGAAACCCCGGATTATTTTTGCCAATGTGTAATTTCATGGTCCTTTGATGACGTAGGTTTTTGGGATGATAAACAAGTGGAACTCATAGACGTTTGGGGGTCCTGGGGCCAAACATCTTCAGAGAGGTAGATCTCGGTTTGGTGAAGCAGCCGACAGTCACGGAGATCTCCCTTTCAGAGCGTATATTCCCGCGCAACGCGGGTTCATTGCACCTGCAGCGATAGAATATGTACTGGTTTACTAATTAGATAGTATTTTGCAGCTTTTCACGGCATTTTAAGTGTTCTTAAAGAGACTCCTAGATGCAGGAATGTAAAAGTTACTAGCCTTAGAGATCTTATAAACAGACTTTAGGAGTTAGTTTCAAGTTTTATTGTCATATACTGATAACCAGTGGTGTTGTTTTGTCTATTTTAGGGGGGCTTCAGTCCCCCTAAAATGTTTTGTGGCCTTCCTGATAAATGTGTAATAAATGAGTTTGCCATCAGCCCCCCGCCCCCCCCCAGACTTAACCTCCCATATCCATTAATCTCTAACTACACCCCTGCTGAAACCAATGCCACATCATTACCAAATTCTTGGCCTCAACTTTTGCACAGTATCTAAAATTGGACGATATGTATAAGGAAGATATGATTAATATGATGAAAATTACTAGAGCTGTGTAGTTACATCTAATTATGTGAACACTTACATGAGATGTGAAGATTCTGGCCTGCTCTCCATGTGTCCTTTGTAATATTTTCCATGCTGATTCGTGACACTTTGGGTCTAATTCTGACTCTGACACTGAAAGCTCACCATTAAGACTCCATGCTCAATGCACTGGAGAAGCGACATCACGTGCAGAATTTATGTGTAAGTTTTGTGCTTTCAAAGACTGGGCCTATTTGTGTACTTGGCAAGCATGCAGCCTAATGCGATGACCGTCTATTTTCGTTACGGACTGAGGTAACGGTGTGTTCCAGTGAGGCAGGGATCCAGGCTTGTAACTGGTTTGGTTTCCAGTTACCGGTCTTTCGTGAAGGCTGTTTCAGTTCCTGCATGACCGGACATGGAGAAGGAATTTAGTAGCTCGCCGTTACTCCTTCACTTTGGAATAAAGTTTTCTAAGCAACATATAATTCAAACTAATAAAAAACAACAAATACTCTACTGATGATTAACTTGTTAGAGAAGACGACCGTAATAATTGAAATAGAAATGGCAAAAGTACACGTTACAATAAAGAAACGCTGAGCTATACTTAGGTGAGCATCTGCTTATGTCGATGACATAACACTTACTTACAAAACCGATTATACAGTTTATAGATTGATCTTAATCTAGACTTCGGTTCCTTATCATGTTCATTGTCATGTGTTTGTGTCATGCATCCCATGTCCTAGTGAAAATAGTCTGGCATTTTGCTTAAATTCTTTTCTGAAATGTTAATGTTAAACCGACATCCCCCTGTATAGTTTACCAGAAAAGGAAAATGACTTCACGGTGCTAGCCTTGTACCCGAGCTTTCCTGAAATCTTGCCCAGACCCTTCTTGGCGCTCTCTCCTCGTTCCAGAGTTCTAGGCCTATTTTCCATTTAAATAGAATAGCGTCGCTGTGATCCGACCTGGGTCAGCCCAAGGCATAAGTGAACTGTTATGGCTGCTTAGGGCCCAGCGGCCAGCTTCCCCCTCCACACCTAAAATGACAAAATAATCAAATTTAGCTCAGGGCCCTGAAAAGTGTTGAACCAGTCCTGAGTCCGACAGTCATTTTTATTCTTGTTGCCTCCATCCCAGCTAACAATTTATTGTTTTAGGAACTTTTACTGACCATTACGATTATGGTATGAAATGTTCAAATTGTCCATGCAGATTTCCTTATGTTTCCTTATGTTTCCTGTCATCCCACTACCACAACTACTACTAAAACTAAGACTAATAATGTCAAAATGAATAAAGGGTGTGTTACAACAGCAGGTGGCGCTGTTTTGTTGTGCTTCGATGGTCATGGGTTCAAGGCTGGGTGATATATTTGCAGTACACAAAAATTGCATTTCTAGAAAATAATAGTTTTATTACAAAACAGCATTTTTCATCATTAATTATGCTAAAAAGATACTCAGGTAATAATGTTTCTGTGCTAACATTGACAGAACCTTTGTTGAAGTGTAAAATGTGTAAATAGCATTTCATTAATGTTTAAATGAAAACACTCCCAGCCAATTTTGAGAAGACCTTAACATTAGCTAAAGTTCTGGGAATGTTCCCTGTTAGCTGGGATGGTTTCAATCTCCAGAAGCTATATTCAGAACAGTTGTACTTTATTTCTAGTGTCTTCTCTAATTTGATTTATTTCTGACTTGTTATTTAGTGTCAGCCTGATCTGTTCTGGCTGCCTTATGCACTCTTCCCACACAAACTTGCTGGGCGTGAGCTTGCTTTCGGCTTTGTGGCAAAATAAAGGTTTTCTGTGTGACAGCCCAGTAATCTTCTCACTTGGAATGCCAAGGTCTTCTCCTCTGACCTGTAAGCTTACCCCATCCTTCTGCGTTCATTCTATCAAAATGCTGCAAGACAATGATGCCATAGTCCTGCTTGATATGGACCTTTTATTGACTGCCAAATAACAAGGACTAACCAAATTTTTAGTTATGCACTGTTGGGTTATAGATTATTAAGTAGCCTATTCATATTTTCAAAGTAATTTTTCACTTGTAATTCTAGCATAGTTCAGTGTGATGACATAATGCCTTGACTGGGTGGGTGTACAGTCCTTTGGGTGACATCAAGCAGATTCTGGGAGATTCTGGAATATTCTCTGTTCTCTCGACTTGGCCTTGGTAAGCATTTGTAAATATTTACAGAAACAGAATCACATATAGGCTATTTATTCAGCACATGTATTCATATATAGTAGCAAAACAGGATATTCTTATTCATAATCTTGTTCATAGTCTGGAATGATTCCTCTTTGTTTCCTCTGTTCCTCAGATAGCAGAGACACCCTACAGGCTTCCCAAAGAATCAGTGCAAAGTTTCTCAGCTGTTCACAATACCCGAAAATTATTGTTATTATTCATACTGACAGAACACTTTAGAAACATCAAACAAGGTTATAATTAAACAGGGCTGGCCAGGGTAGTAATAATATACTGATACTGTTGTGATACTGTGTGGATTTAAGGGGAATTAAATATTTTGCAGCTTAGTACCTGAAGTACAAAGATGTATAATTATGAGTTAGATACATTTCATATTTTTTCAGAGATGACCACTGTCTTGGACTGTAAGAATAGTCTGTGTAGGGAGAATTTCAAGTTAAGGAGATAAACTGAAGATCCACTGCAGTGTTTTCCTCAGTCATCCCCAGCCATTCTGAATCTCTTATGGTTCACCTTTGTCATGACTTGTGGGAGGAAGGACTCGAGGGCAGGCGTGGGAGCAAAACAAAAGGGGCTTTATTGAACTCAAAAGAACAGAGGTTGGACATAAACAGGATCGAGAGGGCTCAGAAACAGGAGGAGCAGAGCAGGGAAGGGCACAGGCAACAAGAGGGTTCAACGTCAGTGACTGGACTGGGGAACACAGGACTGGGAAGCACGTATAAACGAAACTAATGAGGGAGCTAATGAGAGGCAGCTAGGAGTGATTAACACAAGGGTTAGGAACAAGAGGTAAGATAAACGAGTGGCTAGTTAGGGTCACTCTCGGGAGGAGACAGGAGGGTCAATTGGACATGGTGATGGCGGGCGGGATAAATATATATATTAGGGGTGGAGCCGAACCCATATACGGTATTCGGAAAGGCACAAATAATGTGTTTTTTACGAATACTTATTTCGAACAAATACTTTTAAAAATATTTGTATTCGGGAACAAGAAAAACTTTATATCAAAAAGCTGCGTTTCCTCTTGAGACCGCAGTGCATGCCCGGATGAGTGAGTGAGTGAGTTCAGGAGTCGGGGGGGGAGTAAAAGAGGTGACTGACACAGGCTGCTCCACACAGCAACAGAGAAGGCTCGGCTGAGCGAAAAAAAAACCTTAACTGTATCACTATTTTTGTACCTTAACTGGGTTCCGGAGGCAGTTTATAACTTTCGGGAAGCGGAGTTTGATCGGGAGATTATTCCATTACGCTGCATTATTGACGTCTGCAGTCAGGTGCTCTCATGTTCGCTCTGTTTACGTAGCTCTGTTAGCTCGGTAATTTAGACAATAGGCTGTTGACAGAGTAACGTTAACATTTGGTTAAAAAGGTTAAAACAATGCTTGTGTAGTTGTGTCGATTTGTATGCACTTGTAGGAGTTATATGGTACGTTTAAGTTACTCTGTCTACTGCATATCCATAATTATTATAATGGATATAATTAAAGAATACTTACACTATAACGTAAATTAGAAGTGCAACGCAAAAAAACTGGATTTTTACGCCTATTTTGAATGTTACTCGAATACAAATACAAATACTTTTCCCCCCTCAACAAATACAAATACAGATACAAATACCGGCTGCTTTGCACACCCCTAATATATATATATATAAGGGATATTAAGAGAGATGTTTGAGAATCCTTGCCTGGGTTCAGTATGTAATAGTTATTGGTGGTTAATTTAAAGTATGTGGTTTAAAGTAGTTTGATAGATTTTTTTTGCCACCATAACTACAAAAGCCATCTTTTTTATATAAAGGACCACTGTGATAGGTCAGCTTTGTCAAATATCCAAAGCAAAATTGGTTTATTTGTATTCATTGATGTTAACCTAAGTTTAATACATAATTTAGTGGTTACAGTCAGGAATTACAGGCTCAAACAGACAGTCAGACACACATGCCTGGGTCTGTTCGGCTTCTGTGCAGTGTCCAGCACTGACTATCAGCAAGCGGCAGTGAAGACACCATCCCAGTGACATTCTGTCTTCCAGATTTTACAGAAGGCTGCACCAGTAGTAGTTTTATGGACAGTAACTCATCATTTTCGACTGAGAGACTGGCCAGGGGCGAGTGGTGACCATGGTTTGATTGTGGTTTGACCACGCTGACTGGTTTTGCTCTGCACTTTTCCTAGGTGACTACTGCAAGGTGAACGTCTGCCAGAATGGAGGGACGTGTGTTACTGGGGTGGGAGAAAACCCCTTCTTCTGCATCTGTGCAGAAGGCTTTGGAGGAGACACCTGCAACGATACAGAGAGCGGTATCCATGGGCGGGGCTTACTCTCCCCTCTTATTGTCCTATAATGGAAATGAGGCGTGTCTGATAGAGACCTGGCAGCTTTCTGCCTAGCCGAAGCTAACGGCATGCTAACTGAAAGATATGCCCATATGTTGCATTCCCTCTTAGGCCCCTGCAGCCCCAACCCCTGTAAAAATGACGGCATCTGTCAGGTCACCACCGAGTCGCGGCGGGGAGACGTCTTCGGCCAGTACGTCTGCAAGTGCCAGTCTGGATTCGAGGGCATGCACTGCCAGAACAGTAAGAGCTAACGGTCAACATTTTATTTATATTTTACATAGTCCTACAAAGGGGACCGGTATAAAAAGCTGCTTATAATTCGATGCTGCATGTTCAACTGCACGTTTCCCTGTAGCTCCAGGATATGGCCCCCAACAGGGGACTTGAACCAACAACCTGCTGAAGTCTGTTGAGACACTTCTTAAGTGTCTTTCTGACGTGTTTCTCTGAAGTCAGTTGGGTCCCGCTGAGGTCATTTCTTTCAAAAATCCGTGGGTGTGGTCATTTGGGCGGGCAGGTCTGGACAGCAGCCGGTGAGGTTTCCATGCACGACATGCAGCGGAAACTGAAGGTGAAGCCAGCTGCTTTTAATGAGTGTTCTCTTCGTTCTCTGCTTATTTGGATTTTATATTTATAGAATTTTTTTAAGATGTGAGAATGTGGCTGACCAAGTGCACTGCCAGCTGTGATTGGTAGAATTACACAATATGACATCTCACATGCACAAACACAAACACACACAAGTTGGTCTACCTATCTAAATGGGGACCGTCCATTCATTTCTATGGGAAAAACCCTAATCCCAATCACAACACCCTTAACCCCTACCCATCCCTAACCTTAACCATAAATAACCAACCCAAATACAAGACTTTTTGGCATTTTTACTTTTTTGATTGCATTCACAGATGTTTATAAAACTGAGGTTATCCAAATGGGGACCTCAAATGATGTCCCCAAAAGTAGGGAAATTTCAGGTTTTACTACACTTTGGGGACAATTTTGTCCTCAAATGTGATCTATGCACACTCACACACTCATATCTTTGTGGGGACCGTCCATTCATTAGTATGGGCAAAACCCTATTCCCATCAATGACACCCCTAACCCCTACCCAGCCCGAACCTTAACCATAAGTAACCAAATAACATACAAGAATTTTGGCCTTTTTAGGTTTCTGATTGCAGTCACAGATTTTTATGAAATTGGTCCCCACGGTGTCAAAATAACAGGTTTTTATCACATTGTCGGGACATTTGATCCCCAAAATGTAATGTATACCTGGACCACACACACCGACACACATTCATTTGTTTATCATTTTACATCCACATTCTTTAATTTAATTTATGACTCTTAGCCTCACCCGCACTAAATACAAAAATGATTTAGGAATCAGTTTTGAGACTTTTTTTTTTAAAGAAAATTAAACAAAAAAAAAATTTAAATTTCAGAAGGTGACGTTGTACCCCTGAGAGACGTCTGTTTTCCTAGGCTTGGTTCACAGTCCCTCCTTAAAAGTCTCACCACGTGGTTAGGAAAACGTGTCCGGACGCACTTCAGTGCCCACGCTGGCCGTGATGCAGACGCAGCAAGCCTCTCCCAGCTACACGCAGCCTCCCATTCCCATGTCAACGCCAGCTGTCGACACCCCCCCCCCACCCCACAGTCATGTTACGGTTTTCAATTTCCCCTCCACGAGTCTCTGTTTCAAAATTTCCAATTCTGCCCTATTTAATTTAATACATTCTTCAAGCCTATTAAAAAGCAGGCACATTGTGTGTTTACTGCCCCTGTGGTAACTTCAGGAACAAAATGAACAGAATTTGTGGCCGCGGTGAATGACGTCGCCCCTCTGCTGGGATTTGATGACTCAGGCTGAGGTGCTCATGGCCCTTTTCTTCATCCTGTGCCACCCCATAAATCCCAGTCACTGTTTCTGGGTTGCCGCAGATGTGCTGTACTGGAGTCTGTCCGGGTTACGCAGCGGAAACCGCGCCTCAATGCTACTTATAATTATGCCAATTCTACCTGACTAACAGAGTGGCGTTTGTGAGCAGTGTGAAGCCTGGTGAGGTGGCATAACGCCAGATCACAGGCTTGTGCCAGCTGGGCATCACTCCCCCACAAATGCCAGTCTGTGGCACAGCCTGGCGTGGGCCTTCCTCAATAGGCCCACTGGGGTCGGGGGGGTGCCCTGCTTGGACGTGGCTGGCCGCCTCCACTTAGCCTCCTAAACAGTCTATCGTGCAGTGTTAACAGAATAGAATAGCGATTTTTAATTAATCCCTGTGGGAAAGTTTCCGCCTACCCCATCTTGCTCTCCATGAGACACAGGCACACAGGACTGGTGAGAGCAAGCTTGGATGTCACAGCACAGGGTCAGCCAGTGTATGCCCCCCCGGGAGCTGGGGGTCAAGGACCTTGATCAAGGGCCCATGGCTGTATGACTTTTCGGGCAAGGCTCTGATTGGTAATCACCAAGGGCCTAACCTGCTGAGCCACATACCGCCCCCAGGCTGCTGAGTCCCATACCGCCCCCAGGCCGCTGAGTCCCATACCGCCCCCAGTAAGAAAATATATGCCGCTATAGGAGCTGATGATGAGCATATGTTTTCATTTTGGTAATCTTTATTATTATCTGTTTGCAGCGGAGTTAATATTCATCGTTTTGCTAGAATAACTGTCCAATCTCTGTCTTGTTTCATAATTAGTATGAATGATATTGTTTACACAAAGTTATCTAGTGCTTGTTTTTATAGATGAGCTCACTCTCTTTGGCATTTGACAGTTCAGAGGAGAAACCTGTAGGCTTGTTTCAGTGAATCAAAACGTGCAGCTTGTGATATTTCATCTAAGTTGTGGTGCACGAGACTGTGCGTGTAGTTAATGAACCACATCTTCACTCACTTCTTAACATGTGCACGCTGGCAAAATTTAACAGAGATTAATGAGTGTCTGCTGGTGCATAATAAAGACCAGTTAAAGTTAGACATCACCTACTTGATCTGACTGGACAATCTACAGTGACTGTCACCTCAACGCTAGTGCCTGAGACCCAGTTGACAGTTGGAATTCTGCAGCTTTTAGGGTCAAAACAAGAGTTACTAAAACCCAGTGGGGTGTAAGACCCTGCAGTTTTCTTGTTACCAGGCCTTCAGACCTTCTCAAGTTATGGCAGATAAGCCAATCTCAGTAATTAAGAGAGATAGTCAAAATCAATGATTATTTTCATCCTGCTTCTCCTCTGTATCTAGATCAGCAGCCACTGTTGAGCTCTTTTTGCATTTAATGCCCCAACTTGATTAGTATATGATGTAACCTAAAGCACACTGATTGATTGATACTCTTTTTTTATTGATACCTGTGGGGATTATGTCTCCCCCAACTTGCTCTCTATAGGTGAGCACAGGCTGACCATGAAGGGCAGCCTCCCATAGCAGTACACAGTAAGGTGGGGGTTAAGGGCCTTGCTCCAGGGCCTGCAGATGTGCTGAGGCCAGGCTTGAACCAGCAACCTTCAGATCACAGGCACAGAAACTTAGCCTAGTGAGCCACACGCTGCCCCCCCCCCATCAATCATACCCCAAGCATGACTGATGTTGTTTAATGGCCAAGTACCAACTTTGTCAGTTGATTGGGAATTTGGTTTGATTGAAGTGATCAACCAAGCGTTTGTTTAGACTATCAACAATGATTGTCACTCCAGAAAGTTCCGTACCACCATTAACAGCAGTCAGTGTGACTCTTTCTACACTTTGTGTCAGTCTTGATTATGAGACTATAAATCTATAAATCTTCACTGATCTTTAGCGGCTGGTCTTTAGTCTGTAGTGATTGACTTCCATCCATCCATCCATTTTCCAACCCGCTTATGTGATTAACTTTAATGTATATAATAGATAAAACAGTAAATTATGAAACACAAATGAGAAGATGCACATGCTCGGATCCGTGAGAAGAGTGCTTCTTTATTTCAGTGTCTCAACCTGCCTGAGGCTCTGTGTAAAGATATAATTCTTAGCTTCTATAGCCAAGGATACATCCCATTGTTTTTCTGGAAAAATCTGTCTTTGCCTAGACCTGACAAACTTGTTTGCGCTATAAAAAACCAGTCAGTCCGTGTTAAAGGTGTCAAGGTGTGGAGATCACTGAACACATGTGAGGGAGAAATACAAGGTAGAAAACGTGTAAAATGTAGTGTAACAATGTATTGGTAAGAATACATGATTCCCCACACTGGGTAGCAGCTAAAAATGAAAAAAGGGTGTATGTGCTCTGCTTGTGGTACATAAGCTCTAGGCAGTCTCTGCTCTGTTCTTTTTGGATAGAATTCAGAGGACAATTAGCTGGGACAAGGTGGTGTGGAGAGGGACAGTCGTGGCTGTATTTTTTTCTGCCTGGCAGTAGATCATCTCATCTATTGTTCGTAGCAGACATCTCTCCCCGTCTCATGTCCGTATCGCTTGACAGTCCCGCTTTGACCCTCCAAACTGCCCCAACAGCCTGAGACCCCTCCTTGGGCTGGAGAGTGAGCCACCTCTCTGGGGGGGAAGGGGGGGCCTCCGCGAGAAAGCGGCTCGTGAGCTGACACACGTGGCCGCTCAGCCGAGACAGATCCACTTAACCGAGCCGGCCGGGGAAGAAGCAATATGAACCTCTGACGTCACAGTCCGTCTGTCAACAGATTACTGTTTGGGTCTGTCTGCTGTCTGCACTAGGCGTGTAATTCACTGCTGAACTGTGCTTAAGGCAAAGGTACTCATTTATATTTATGATATGTTTAAACACAGGAGCAGCTGTGTATGCCATTTTTACATTTACATTACATTTAGTTTTATTTAGCAACACAACATACAAGTGAATCAAATAGCATAAAAGTAGCCAGGCTGAGCTTGCAACGAATACCCAGGTACAAGTGCAAATAGAGTTAGGAGAAAGAGCTACACAACATCTTCCAAACGACGCAAAGACTATTCGATGAGCAAAGTATAAGGATTCATGGAACACATGGGTCGGGGGGCATTGTTGAAGATGGAGAGTGTTGACTGGATGATCTGATGAATGGATGTGGCTCGGCAGCTCATTCCACTGTGTTTTCAGTTTATTTTCATGTTTTTTTCCCATCTGTTTTTGAATGTACGTTTTAAAAGCTCAAGTCAGAGTAAATGGCACCTAAGGATTTCAGAAATGTTTTGAGCAAGAGCACCACTCAGTGGACGCTTTAAGTAAGTGCAGCAAGCGACGAGTCATAAACATGAATTGAAATTATTGCTGAATGGCGGCTGGACATGCAGAGTCATGGGCTGCTGTGGTGGCTTGAGTTTCCAGAATTTGGCCGTTCCAGGGAAGCCTTAACCTGGGGCCCAGGGCTGCCTAGGGTTCGGGTCCTCCTGATAGAAGCCAGAAGCTGGCTGTTATGCCGTGTCTGTTTGGCAGCATGTGGACCATTGAGGGTATTTGCGGGGATCCATCCATCCGTCTTTCCTGGGTAGGGTTGTGGGGACAGAGTCAATCCCAGGCAGCATTGAACACAAAGCTGAGTACACACTGAAAGGGATGCCAGTCCATCACTGGGTTTGCACTCACATATATGTGGAACAGATTAGTGCATCAGGTGTGTTAGACTATAATCATCCTGTTTTCATGGGTGCTTTAATGCACAGGGTTACCCAGGCTGAATCCCAGGGGCCTCTGCTAAAAAAGGGCTTTTTAAAACAATTTAATAATAATAATAATAATAATAATAATAATAAAAAAATAATACATTTTATTCAAGGGCACCTTGCAAAAAAAAGCAATCCACACAACATACTAACATACTTCTGTACATGTATACTATGAATACATAAATATATTCTTAAATTTATAATGCTAGCAAGTAACAAGCTGCCCTTAATGCATTTTATTGCATTTTAACCTCCTGAGACTTCTGGCATTTTGTGCCAATTTAAATTTTCTTGTTATATATGTTTTTAACCTTCTGTAGAGCACTTTGAATCACGAATGTGTATGAATGCCGCTAATTAATTAAATTCGCCATATCCAGCCTCGCCCCGAAGTGGGCCCCGTCGACACTATTTACCTTCGTCAAAGTAAATGGGGGGTGGTCTCTGAACATTCATAAAGCCCAGGGACCTCTGACTTTTTTCCAGGGACCTGCTTTTTATCCAGTCATAGTAGTTGTCTCATAACTAAACAGACGTCCTGGAAATGTTGTTGTAAAAGCTTTTGACTACCTCTGGTCTCCCTCAGATGTGAATGACTGCGTGAGCCAGCCCTGCAAGAATGGAGGAATCTGCCGAGATCTGGATGGGGACTTTAGCTGCAGATGTCCCACGCCCTACGTTGGGAAACACTGTCAGCTGCGTAAGTACTCTCCCCTGCCCCCACCATATGCACGGCCTGCCACCGCTCAGACATATAATCCCACTGAGCTGTATTCCAAGTTAAGCCTCTTTTGTAGCTGTTGGGGAGGCATCCAGTGAGAACCAGGGCGACTTGAAAGTTTTCCCTGCTGGAATAAGCCCATGTCTCTAGGATGGTAATAGCAGGCCATACATGGGAATGCTGGGCTTCCCAGTAAGACGATTAATCGCTGATTTCAGGCAGCAAAGGGGCCATTGTGTTAGTGACAAAAGCTAGAGGGAACTGAGCGGGATGTTTGGGCCAAATGACAAGCTGTTGTTTTTCAGATGCTGCCTGAAAAATAATTACTTACTGTTGATGTTTAAAGAGAATAAGATGGGGGTTGAGACTAGCAGTGAGACAAGGCTGATTATGTGTCTGTCCCAGGATGCATCTCTCTGCTGGGGATGGAGGGGGGTGGGATTTCTGAGTCCCAGATAACGGCTTCCTCGGTCCACTACGGGGTCCTGGGCCTGCAGCGGTGGGGCCCCGAACTCGCCCGACTCAACAACCAGGGCATCGTCAACGCCTGGACCTCTGCCACGCATGACAAGAATCCTTGGATACAGGTGTGTGGCCTGTAGGTGGCATGGTGGTTATGAGCACATACCTGTAGACACATACTGAAGCCTAGTGGTTAGATTTGCAGCAGTGGGCCTGCTATTGAATTGGATAATTCCTGTAATATACCCAAGGATAAAAATCTGCTAAAACTCTAAAATTCCTACAAAAATATTTTCAAAAGTTTTATATGCATGGTAAAAAATGACCATTTACAACAATTTTATTTATATTTTATTTAGCAATTTAAATATTTCAAAAGCAATTTTAAAATACTTTTTTGCATGCTTTTATGTAAAATGCTTCATTTACGTTGACACTATTTGTTGTAATATAGTTCATAATATTTTCACACAGCTCTCTCCCACCTGCCTAGTGGGTGTGGCTTTCACACAGCTCTCTCCCACCTGCCTAGTGGGCGTGGCTTTCACACAGCTCTCTCCCACCTGCCTAGTGGGTGTGGCTTTCACACAGCTCTCTCCCACCTGCCCAGTGGGTGTGGCTTTCACACAGCTCTCTCCCACCTGCCTAGTGGGTGTGGCTTTCACACAGCTCTCTCCCACCTGCCTAGTGGGTGTGGCTTTCACACAGCTCTCTCCCACCTGCCTAGTGGGT